ATGCTATATACTAAGTGAGTGTTGTGCTCATCAGTGAGCATCGCTCACTGATGAGCGCTCAGTGTTGAGCACTCTTGCCAAGTGCTGCTCGTTGGTGAGCGCTATAGTGCCAAGCACCTGCTCACTGACGAGCGTTCATTATTGAGCAGTCACGTGATGACTATTCCTAAAGAGTGTGCGTCGTTCCCTGCGGTCACTCCGCCTTCTCACAGATTACTGGTTAAACCAATGTAACGGCGAAATGCCCTCCACATTCTGAGGCTGGTCGTAGCAGCACGTAGGGACGGACGTTAATCTCCCTCGGAAAATGCGCAACCCCCAAATTCACCCTACCCACCCACCCGCTCGCCCTCTCTCTCTATCCGGCACCTCAGGCCGTAGCATTATGCCCGGCCTCATAATAAATCCGCACATGGGCATTCGGTTCCGCGCTGGTAAACCAATAAACACTAATCCACATGAGCACCTTCATCCTCAGTCCACGGATACGCCATGCGTCCACTCGACCAAGCTTCTCATAGATGCACGCCCAGCAGCGCCACGGGGCCACTATCCGCAAAAGCGTATGCCTAGCGTCTGCGGCTTTGTGCGACCTGCAGCTAGCTATACGCCTTGGCCCTCGCGCGTAAACCACGCCGAGCGCGCGAGCCCCCGCCGTCTCTCGCCGGCCGTGTATATGGTTCGCGATCTGATGCCATCGTAGACGCATGTTATACTGATTGAAGATGCTTCTTTGCAAAGACGATCCGTTGTTCACATGTACAATACCGAAGCGATGGCATGTTCATTGGTTAGACTAAAAAGTTGAATAAAGCTGTCTTTCAACAACAACAACAACAACAACAACACATTGTCGTCTGCAAGATGACGGCACTGCATCGCTCAGATTAGCAGTGACAAGATGACGTGACGGCAGGTATCGGCTTATGCATTTCGTCAAGAGATCCATGAATGGCCAGGCACAACCTCATGCTCAAATACGATGCTTTCTTCGGTAATTTCCCCCCTTTCCAAAGTTTGTAAACCTAGAAATGACATGGCATTCAATATTGTGGAGCTGACAACCCAATGCTATGGAGTTGGTTTAGGTGCATGTAAATGAAGCTGCATGATGTAGCGCGACTTGACTTGGAACTCGTTATGATGCAGAAGAACTCAATGACCTTTCGTAACTTTAAAAACAATGTGAACTCTGATTTCGCATACTGGTCCAAGCGATAAAACATGCACGCCTCTTTTGAGACCAGATTCCACAGCGGCGATCCACTATACCCCATTTGGTAGTATATTAGATCGCTGCCGTGGAATCCTACCGACAGCCCGCAAAACAGCTAAGAAGAGGGGTGCAGCTTTAGCTACATATCGGCACAGCTGCCCCCCCTGTTAGCTGTGGCAAGAGAGATTCTAGCGTTTGTCGCGTAACAACTGTCCAGCCAAAGAAGGGCATTTCTAAAGTCGCGTTAAAGATTGGGCAAATGGTAGTATGTGCTCGTTGAAGCCAATGATATTGCATTCCGTCGTGCATGAGAAGCCGTCGGAAGTAATTTTAATCTACAGCCAAAGCTGCAACAACTCGCCTTCGTGGCACATGTAAAGCTGAGCTGGCCTGGCCTTCTGTAGCACAACGTAGGCGAGATAAAGGATCATAGTACATGGAGAATAGGCGACACAACAATACATCGATTTTCGGTGCTCGGAATGAGTCGGAATACTAGCTCGGAATGCCCCGACTTGCGGTTGTGAGATGCCTGCCAATCACGAGTTACGGACCACCACCCTGCCAATCACGAGTTACGGACCACCACCTGCTATCATGGCATGACTGCCGGCTTCGTTCCCGGACCACCTTTTCGATATCATAAAGGTGACTTGCCCCTTAAATCTTATAGATATTGTAGCGCCTACTAAAGAGCGAAACTATCTTGTCCGTAATCAGTCTCAATGGCATCCACGATCGATACTGCGAGGAGCGGACATGCAACCGTAAGCGGAGCACTCGAAGCCGCAAAACAACGTTTCGCAAAGAGAAACCCAGTAAGCTTGAAACTTCACGAAGAAGCAAGCAAAAGGCTACCAGGTGGCAACACACGAAGTGTACTTCACACAGCACCGTTTCCAATCTTTCTCAAAACTGGCAAAGGATACCAGGTCACATCGGAGGACGGACACACATACACGGACCTTGTCGGCGAATTCACGGCCGGCTTGTACGGTCATTCGCACCCGGTGATCCAATCAGCACTGATTGAAACAATCAATGGGGTCGGACTCAATCTGGGAGGTACTACTACGCTGGAAACAAGACATGCTGCGTTGATATGCGAGCGGTACAAGCTGGACCTCATCCGTTTCACAAATTCCGGAACAGAGGCGACCTTGCATGCTATCCAGGGCGCTCGTCGTTTTACTGGAAAGAAAAAGGTTGTCGTGTTCTCAGGCGGATACCACGGAGGGTGCTATCTCTTTCCCGATAACCGCCCCGCAGAGAACTGTGTCGACAAGGACGATTGGATCGTTGCCGAGTTCAATGACATTGAGGATGCGAAGAGGAAGATTGAAGAGTCTGAAGATGTTGCTGCGGTATTGGTCGAGGGCATGCAAGGTCGAGGACCATGTCTTGTCGGCACCCATGATTTCCTGCAGCAGGTCCAATCGTCGGCAAAGAAAGCCGGTGCCGTGTTCATTTTAGACGAGGTGCAAACAAGCCGCCTGTCACCGGGGGGACTACAGGAGCTCGAAAGTTTGACGCCTGACATTACCACTTTAGGTAAATTTCTGGGTGGCGGGATCACGTTCGGCGCCTTTGGAGGGCGAGCAGACGTCATGCGGGTTTACGATCCGCGAGAGAAGAATTCACTAGGACATTCGGGCACATTCAACAACAACACGCTCGGCATGACTGCAGGGTATACTGGCTTGGCGCAAGTGTACACGGCTGAAGTCAGTCGTGAATTCAACCTCATGGGCGATCGTTTCCGCCAGCGTCTCCAGCGTCTTTCACATGGTACGAAAATGACCGTCACTGGCCTGGGAACAATCCTGGGAATCCACTTCTTACACGACGGTAAAAAGGAACTGAGGAACTACCAGGATCGCCTCGAGGACAGAGACTTGAACATGCTGTTTTGGATTGAGATGATGGAAGACGGCTTCTGGATCTCGCAGCGCGGAAGCCTTGCAGTGATATTAGGAACACCCTGGGAAGAGCTTGAAAAGTTTGTTAACAGTGTTGAGAAATTTCTGCAGAGACACGCAAGTCTGTTGGAGGTACGGATGGTCGGGGAAGAGAGTAGGCTGTAATCAGACACGTACGCATATCTATCCAAGGTATTAGTGAAGCAGATATACGCAAGTGTGCAGCGGGATGCTGTGTTGTGTATGGTTGATCATACGATGGCAGTGCATGTTATTGGTCTTGTTCGCGAGCGCCCTGTAGCATGCACTGATAGTAGAACTGACCGCTATTCTGAGAGTTTGGCGGTACAGGATATGGCGGGTGACGCTGCAGCATTGGATTTTGGCCTGTTTCTGAGTGCTTCCTGCAATCTTGTTTCTGATAGACAGCCCGTCTCATGCTCAGCGTCGTTAGCATCTTTATTGACACGGAGCCAATGCTTGTCCCAACACCAAGACACTGCACGTAAAGAGGTTCAAATCCAGAGGTTGCGATTGGTGAAGCCAGGCGTCAAACCTACGGTAAGTACGACTCACTGCCGGGCGTCAGGGCCATAAGCTGAGCTCAGCCCGGCAGACCAACATCTACTCCTTCCCCACATTTATACGCATTGTGTGGAGTCGGGGCTCCGGGACCTAGACCCAGAATGCTGCTGGTAGCGAGTAAGCAACGGACGGCATGCCATGATAAAAGGCACAGAAAGCAGAGCAAAAGAAGCCGAGCCGTCGTGGCTGTTTCGAGGCTGCGTCACGGGGCACAGTGATAGGCACCAATCGCATTTCACAGCCCACGGCGAGCCAAGGCGCTAGCCAGACTAGGAACTAGGCCTGCTGGGCACGTAGACAGCAAGTCGTGTGCTCACATTGCGGTCTCGACTGGCCACACGACAAAAAAAACGCTCAGCTTGTTGGAATCAGCTGCTTGTGGTGCAATGTCTTCCCGAGCAATTGGTTTGTCCTGTAAGCCACGCACAAAATGCCTCCCATCCCTGGTAGGCGTTGGACCGGGGCCTGCGTAAGCCTTTATCGTCCTAAAGCAGTACCTTTAGCTAGTAGACGTTAGCGATCAGGGTCCAACTGACGGGGCATAGTGCTCCGAGAGGAGGGGGCAGTTCAAAAAATGCCATGGGTTGTCACGTTGGCGCGTAAACCCTTCTTGAAATCTGCATTCGACGTTGTATCAATTCAACGTCATTTTGAGCATTCCCGCAAGACACACCGCCCACCCCTGTAAACTTAACGCTAACTCAGCCTGTGGTACCGCAGAGTAGCACCTGCATGCTTGGAGGGGGGGATGGCGACCAAACGTAAAAAAAAGAAAAGCTTAAATAAAGCCGTGGTTGTTCCCCAGACGCCAATTGCTTTTCGTTTCCCTTCTTTCCCATCCGCCAGAAGAAAGGGTTCTCTGTCTCTCGACCGGCAAACATGCAGGACCTTGCACCAGATCTGAACGCATCCTTTCCGAGCATTGAAGCACAGCCAGCTACTATGCTCACCGAAACATACATGCATGGCCTCGCCGTCACCCTCGGCCTTCTCCTCTTCCCCGTCATCACCGCCTTCTACATTCACAAGGACTACCGTGACTTCCTGTCCCTAGGCCCCGGCGGCACTCCCGCAACACCCTTGGGATACCTCAAAATCAAGCTCCTCTCCATCATCTGCCTGCGGGATCCGCGGCGTCCCATTCCCATTCCACCACACTACCGTCCGCAGAGAGGCTACTTTGTCGAAGACGCACTGCCGCACCGCACCGGTCCCAAGCCAGAGATTCGCGGCATAGCTCCGCAGCGCCAGCAAACGCAGATTAGCACAAAGGAAATCTATGGAAAGCTCGTAATCAAGATCAAGGAGCTCGCGAGCGATCCCCGCAACAGGCTCACGGAGCGCACCAGTTGCTTCGAGAAGCACAGCACCGGCCTCTTCACCAGCATCCCCATTACCAGGACCTGCGGCGGCGAGATATGCCATGCACACCCGAGCGACGGGTCCATGCACCTGACGCTGCACCCGGCTGATGCAAACCTTATCATGGCTCACGGCTGGGGCGAGCGGCATCCGCTGGCGCGGGGCGGGTGGTGCAGGAAGTTTGTGCCTCGCGAGTTTATGCTCGTGTACGCGCCCAGAGACGACGACGAGGTCGAGATTGTGACCAAAATTATTGCAGCCAGTATCTGGTGGGTTAGCGGCATCAATGTCAGTGGGGACACCGAGGGTCCGAGAAGGAAGAGCGCAGACGTGGCGGCTATCGGTAGGGAGATGCAGGGAGACCAGTGCTGGACTTGTAGAATGAACACGTGTGGGCGTAACAATGTTGAACAAATGACGAGCGATGCTTGAGGGAGCGTGGAAGGTTGCTTCCGAGCGCTTGCGCAGGGACAGATTGATTGAATTGGGACGGGACTTTTTGGCGCGTTTAAGCATGGCGTCTGGGATTTATTGATCATCGGGTTATACAGTGTAAGACATACGGGCAAAGACTTGTTATTCAGAATGCTCGACCGTGTTTATTGTTATTGCCATTTTTGTATTGTAAACCTGTCTTACTGGTGAACCGGGCCTTTTTGTATCGGGATGCGTTGCTGGCCTTCCAGACACACGTCGTCCACAGTATATTCTTGTAGTCATATCCTACTTTCCACCTTGCCTCACCCATGTCTCGAATTCCTTCCTCTTTCCTTTGACATCCCAGAATCCCCTCCTGCCCTCACTATTTCCACCAATGCCTGCGTCCAGGCCGAGAAACGCATATGGGTCGCCCTCGCTCAAAACCTCCTCACCCTCTCTCGTGTAGTGACCCTCGCTTTGCTGCCCTTGTCGTGACATCTGACCCGCCCATTGTGCGTAGTGTATCGGTTTCAGCGGCGCAAAGGAAATGACGATGCCGAGTGAGAGGAGCAGGATGGAGGTGAGGAGCTCAAGCGAGATGTCGAGGGGCAAGGGTGTGTTTGTGAATGTTGCTGTATGTTCGTGGGTCGAGTAGACACTTGGCAGCGTCAGTGTATGTACGCAAATAGATGCAAATGATTGAATATATGTCTCTGGTTTTGTAGATGCGCAGGTGAGCTGTGTGCGACTTACGCATGTGTAAGCAAGAGCACGCCGATGCCATTCAGCGCTGTCCCTAGGATGGCCATTGTGAAGCTTCGTGGGGTTGTCCAACGCCCGTTGATATCAAGAGTGAGCGTAAGAGATGAAACGGAGCGGCTGTGTAGTTTCGACGGTCGAGGCGCTGCTGTTTGTACTGTGCAGGCAGAGATGGGGGCTGCGGGGTGGTGGAGGTAGGCTTCGGTGATGTTGAGGCGATGAGCTTCAGTTTTCCTCGGCGGACCCTGGCGGCCTAGGTAGTAGTACACAACCTACTATGACATTCACATGCTTTACTTTCGCCAACCATCAACACTCATCCTGCAACAAAGACAAGTGTATAAACTACAAAGTGTAACATTTGGTAACGCCCCAGTCGCCCTATGATGTCGTCCTGTCAATCCACGTGTCCGACTGTATCTGTCTACCTACGCCACATCAGGCTCCAGCGCAGAAATGGTACCAGTCAATAGTAGTAATTACAGGATCCAACATGGCATTCGTAGTAATCGGGCAGGAAAACTCCATAAGTGGTCGTGGCTGACCTCGGAGATGTGGGCGGTGACGCGATCTCCGACAACATGTCCGCATCGATGTCCGCATGGTTAAGCATAGCCGACTTTTTGCGGAAACAACGAAGGTATAATAAAGCAGCCAAATAATTCAGATTTCAATCATTTCCAAGAGCCTCATCCCTTCAGGTTTCTAAATAACTACCAGTCCACATTCATCGTATTATAAATTCTATCTCAGTTATCTCAAGCATGGCCAATTTACCACCTTCGAATTCTACAAAGTCCCTCGACATCCTGATAGTAGGCGCAGGAGTCGCTGGCCCAGTTCTAGCCCTCCTTCTGCAACGCTCCAACCCCAACCACAACATCACAATCATAGAACGCTGGCCCGGTCTCCGCACTGGTGGCCAGCAACTCGACCTCTCAGCTCAATGTATCCCCATCATGCGCCAACTTGGCCTACTCGAAGAACTTCGCCAGTACTGCGTCAACGAAACAGGAATGGAGCTCATCGACCTCCACGGGAAAAGCCTCATGCAATTCGGCGTCACAAAAGCTGGAGACAAAGGCGGCACCTTCGAACTCACCAACGAATTCGAATTCATGCGCGGCGACTTTGTAAAAATGATGTACACAGCCAGTCTCAAAGACCGCGAAACCCTAAACTCTCAGGGCCACACCCGCGGCAGTCTAACCTACCTCTTCAACACAACCCTCACTGCCATATCCCAAGACACCACCGCCCCAGACCTAGCAACTGCCACCTTCTCCACCGGCCAAACAACCCCCTACAACCTCATCGTCGCAGCCGACGGCCAAAACTCACGCACCCGCCGCCTCGTCTTCGGCGAAGCAGCCAACACAGCAGCCTACACCTCCCTCAACACGCACGCCGCCTTCTACCACATCCCCCGCTCCCCCCGCGAAACCAGCCTCGCACGCATGTACTTTAGCCCCGAAAACCGCCTCACCATGACGCGTTCCGGCGACCGCCCAGAAACGCAAGTGTATCTCATTCAACTGCAAAACGCACAGCGCACGCCTGTCCTCAAAGCAGCGCAAAAGTTGCCAGTGCGGGAGCAGAAAGAGGTGTGGGCGGATCTGTACCGCGATGCGGGATGGGAGTGTGAGCGGTTCACGCGGGAGCTGGATGGGGTAGATGATTTTTACGCGACGGAGATTGTGCAGGTCAAGATGCCGGGGAAGCAGTTGTATTCGGGTCGAGTGGTGTTGCTGGGCGATGCAGGGTACTGTCCTTCTCCTTTTACGGGCATGGGGACTACCCTGGCGCTGATTGGGGCGTATGTGCTTGTGGGTGAGTTGGGGAGGCACGGCAATGATGTGGGTGCGGCGCTTAGAGCGTACGAGGAGGAGATGAAACAGCCGGTTGAGGAGAATCAGGAGTTGGGGGCTTTGGTTAATGGGGGGAAGGGCATCTTTCCTCGGTCTGCGTGGGGGATTTGGACTCTTAATACTGTGCTATGGACTATGTCGGTGTTGAGATTGGACAAGTTGCTAGGGATGGTGGCTGGTTTCGTGCCAGAGGGAAAGGGTAGTAGTGGGTGGAAGCTGCCTAAATATCCTGGTATGAATATGGAGGCACTTTAGAGGAACTCAGTTACGCAGCTAGAATCATGTCTCATTTTTTGTAGCACTAGAAGCATGTAGACGGATCAAATAGATTTTCTTTGATTTTATAATCACAATGTCAAATTTTTTATTTAAAAAAATAAACAACTTGTCTCAGCAAGAGATATCTAATACGCTCCCTCCCTCTTCTCATACCCCTCACCCTCTACGACCCCAACATCCCCCAACCCACTCCAAATCTCGGCGTCAACCTCAACTTCCAGCCCTCCAATCTTCGTCGCTCCAGCATCCAATCCCCATAGAGACACGCCCAGATAGTTCGTCCCCTTGTAGTTCAAAATGCCCTCGGGAACAGGGAACTTGGTCTGGGGACCTACGTTGTTAACGTATTTGCCATACTGCCATCCATTAACGTAGAGTTGCACGCGGTAGGCAGGGACGCTGCTTCCAGCAGATGAAGACGTAGCGTTGGTAAAGGTAAAGCTGAGAGGCACGTCGTATCCAGAAGGAACATCGAGTTCGAACTCTGTAGCGAAGAAGCCGATACCGGGCGCGCTGATGCCATCGGCGACGGGACCAGCGGAGGGCTTCCAGTCGAGATTTGATGCAGAGAGAGCACCTGGCAGATGAAGACCTTGTCTCTCTACAAACAAACCGCCTTCGTTGAGCGGGCCGCGCGAGATATCGCGGTAGTCTTCTCCGCCGAGGTTACCAGTGAGCTTCCAGGTCACGTCCGCAGCGTCGTGGCCTGAGAGCGTGTAGTCGAGGATACCACGTGGGTTCTTCATTGTTTCGGTGCCAATGGTCCAGTTTTCGTCGAGACCCTGGTTGTCGATTACAACGGTGATGGTGTATTTTGTTCCGGCGGTTAGCTTGGGGAGTGTAAAGGTCGAGTTGCCGTTCATAGCGGCGTCGTAGCCGCGCCAGGATCCGAGGAACTGTGTGCCGATCCAGGCGGAGGATCCGAATGCTGAGCCGCCTTGGGTTGTGAGTTGCAGGGTTGTCTCATCACCGGTGGCTGTAAAGGTGCCGCGGTAGAGGAGGGTGCCGGTGTGGTAGCCGTAGTCGGAGCTGTACAGCGAGACGGGGGTGGTCAGTCGACGGAGGGAATTGTATGTCTTCTTAAGGTCTGCGACCGTCCACTTGCTGTCGTCATATCCGGGCTGGATCTCGGGAAGAGAGTCGATGTACTTCCACTCAAGTTCGCTCAGCTTGGGAATGCTGATGTTGGGCTTGGGAAGATCAATAGTCGCAGTGACAGTACCCGCCTTGGAAGTTTCAAAAGAAACATCGTTGCCGTTGAAAGTCAACTTGGAAAGGCCAGCCGGGGCGCCGCCAATGATTTCAATAGGGGTTGTAGCATTCACATCGCCGGTCAGGCCAAGGGCGTCGCCCGTGACCTTGGCCGTACGCATCAAATAGCCTGCCTTGAGAATGACAGGGTTTGAAGCATCGTGAGGTGCCTGATCAATCGACCAGTAGTTGAAAGCCTCATAACGGTCTTTGAAAACTGTTAGTGAAAATTTCAAATATGTTCGCTTTCGCTAAGAAACTTACCAAGCATGTAGATGTAAATGGAGTTCTCAGTGCCCAACTTGACAACCTTTCTTGTAGCGTCAGCTTGGAAGCTCAGCAGTGTGTGACCGCGAGTGGCTACGCTCTTGACATCGCCTTCAAGAACCTCAAGCCCAGTAGCCTCAACAGAAAGCTCATGAGTTTCTCCCGGTCCACCATATACAATCAGAACAGTCTTGTCGTCGTACTTGTGCCAGGTAAAGATCTCAGCAGTCGAATACGCAATGTTTGTACCGCCAATGTCGTAGTCGGCAACATGGACCTTTGCATCGCGCCCGTTCAATGTAAGCGAAGTACCGTTCAGCTGCGGCACAGTTATGTTTCCAAAAGCTTGCGTCGAAATCTTGAGCTGGTAGCTCGTAGTCGCCAGCGAATTATACTTGGCATGCCTCAAGAAGTAGAAACTAGTCGTGTTGCCGTGCGCAGGAGTAACGCTGAGATCACTCGTGGTAGTCCATGCAGAGGTCGAGGCAGCACCGCGCGAAGCAGTCAGGTATGCAGGACTGACTTTCCAAAAGTTGGCCTGGAGCTTGAGCTCAGAGTACTTTTCACGCTTGACTTGGCGGTCTTCTTCAATCGGCGCGGCATAGTCGTACGATGTGTAGCCTCCTGGATGGCCCAGGTTTCCCCAGTTGGTACCGCCAAAGGTCATGTATAGGTTCAGAATAGTGACACCGAAGCTGTAAAGCTGCTTGTAGAAAACGCGGTTGAATTCTGCTCCGACTAGGATTCCGCACTTGTCGAAACCTGGACCGCCCCACTGCGAATTGTCAGATAACGCTGGTAATATTTTAAGGCTTGCACACTCACTGGGTCAAAGCTGCCAGCCTGGAACTCAACGATTGAGTAAGGGGTAGTCGGACTTTGCTGCTGGTGCAGTTGTTGCCAGTTTGTTGGCAGATTGTTGTCAGGCCATGTGGTCGGATTCGCACAATCGAAACCAAGAGGGTATCCGTCATGTCCATAGATATCGACTGCAGCAGGAGTACCAGGAGCATTATTTCCCTTTGGAGATGCGTCGTTGCTGATAAGCGGTACAACGATGCTGGCATTACGAATCTGATCCTCGACATAGGTCATGTAGACTGGATCGGGGAACGGCTTGATTGCACTGGTTGCTTGCGTGTACTCGTTCTCCGGCTGAACTAGAATGATTGGTCCTCCATTGGTGATTTGAGCTTTGGCAATTGTGGCGCCAATATTCTTCATGTAGCTGGACAAGATTAGTATCAAATGTCACGAATGCTTCGATAGTCCACATACTTGTCCGTCGCCGCCAAATAGTCCGGTGCACGAGTTCTCAGCGTGCCGTTGATACGCTGGATCCACCCAGGAAAGCCTCCACCAGAAACTTCGGCATTGATATAAGGGCCCGGTCTGGCAAGAAGGTAGATACCCGCTTCTTGCGCCGCATCGAAAAATGGCTGGAGGCTGAACACACCCTCTTCACGGTAAACACCCGGCTTGCCTTCTAGTAGCGCCCAGTCGACATAAAAGGACACGCCATTGAATCCAAGCGCCTTAATCTTCTGGAAGATATCAAGGTGCAAATCTGGAACCGGCAGTCTGTACGGATGGACTTCGCCCGAGTACAAGAAGATGCGCTCTCCATTAACAAACAGCGAGTCTTTATCCCAGGTGACCTATTTGTAAAAAAAAAAAAAGTCAGCATCTCCCAATGACCTATACACACACCCAACCTTTCAATATTCTTGTTTCAAAAAAAAACTTACAATATCCTGCAACGGCCCTCTCTTATACGGCTTAATAAAGTCCGTCGGCGACGTATACGCGATTGCCCTCGCTGCACCCTCTACAGCAAGACATCCCAGCGTAACCGCACTCCCAAGCCCAGCAAACCCTTTCATCCTTTTCTGGCTCGGTATTTGCCTACCCAACAGTCAAGGAAGTCAAAGTAAAAAAAAAAGAACCGCGTAGGTCTGCGCAAAACCAGCCCCCAGTAACAAGACGGTAGGGAGACAAAAAAAAACAAGAAAGGGAAATCCCTCCCAGTATTAATATACTAAACTCAAATTCAATTACATCTTTGTTATTCGGATCTATGAACTATTCCGCACCAACGGACCGACGCGGCATTGTACACGGCTGAGAGGCGCCGTTCCTTTTTTTTTTTTTCGGGGCGTGATTGTTCCCGTACACCTTACATGTACATATGTCAGGGGCCCCAAAAGAGCGGCACAATGACACCATGGTACATGACGTTCCATCGCGCGACTGACTTACCCACCCACCCCGGTCTCTTTTCCCCGCTTCGCCCTGGTCGTACGAATTCCAACGGCGGCTCAGAGCTTAGAACGCAATTGAATCGTAACCTCCTGCTTTCGCCCATTTTTTTTTTAATTCTTGTCAAGGTTGATACAAGTAATGCAACAGGTAATTATACTCGGGATTGCAAAACCCAGTTGCAATAGCAGAAATGTTGAATTAAAAATATCCATCCATATACCTAGTCCATCAATAATCCTTCTCCCCTCCCCTACCCCCCGTCTGGTCTATCACTTACCGGAACAAGAAAAATCCCAAATACCCAACCCCCCCCCAACCCCATATTTACCCTTCCTTTCTGCCACCTCCCCGCCGCCTCCTCCGCCTCAAAAATTTCCCACCAATATACTTACATCGCAAACCCTCAGGCTTACCTACTTACTTAACATTATTTCCCGCTGCCAAACGGGCAAGTTCCACCCCCGATGCACGGTCCCCTGTCCCCCGCTTTTTGGCGCAAGCTTGAACACAACCAAAAGGCTTGAATAGCCGGAGGTAGGGGGGGGGACGGGAATGTTGCGGTAAGTAAAGGTACCCCCCCCCCCCTTCCTCTCCGTTTTCCATTTCAGGCAGGGTATCCGACCTGCGTCCAAGTAAAGTGTCGGAATCCCCCCAAAAAAAGGTTACAGATTTGGAGAGACAGAGAGAGAGAGAGAGGGAGATGTTTTGCGCGATATGACGTCGGTTTATTACTATGGGTTAATACATAACAAAGTCAAGCGATTAAGACATACTATACTTTACCTCGGTTAACGAATTTTTTTTTTATTTTTGGCAAAGTGGGAGCAAAGGAAATACTAGGTTTCTATGCTTTTTTTGCGCGTTTATCTAGCTAGTCCCCGCTCCCCAAAACAAAAGGGAGTAGGGAATGCGGCGGGCTGTCCGGGGGTATATATAAATGGAACGTTTCTCGTGGAGAAAGTAAAAAAAAAAAAAATAACGGCGCGAATTATGGAAAACAAAAAACGTATCAAAACTAATTTGCCTTGACAGAATGTCTTTGCTTCTTCTCTCTCTCTCTCTCTCTGATGCTTGCCAGAAAAATTCAAATGAATTTCCGTCCTGCCCTCCCCTAAAACATGAAGGTGGAGAAGACATGTATGCGCACACCGTTCCGAATGCGCTTCAAACTAGCTCTCTGAAAAAAAAACCCCCCACTCATCCATCTAACCTCGGAGAGATGATTTAAAATGCGATCAAACGATTGTCGGGAAAGAGAGCAAAACAGAAGAAAAATGAAAAGATCAAAGTTGCGTCGTATCACATGTGTGTATCTTGTTTCTCCAAATCAAAAACACTAGATATGTGCATCCCATGGTCTCGACCAAAATGAAAAGAAAGGGGGGATTCCACAATGACGGAATTATGTCGCTTGGGAGAAGAAGAAGAAGAAGAAGAAGAAGAAGTTTATATACAATGAAAAAGAGCAATGTCCCCCCCCCCCCCCCCCGGTAAATGCCGAAGCATTTACTGGGAGACCCGATGGTTGAATATCCAACGCCAATTTCCATCTCCCGGATGCGTCCATGTCGTCTCTTTGTGCAGCTCTATGACTGCTGATATTGGTAAGTGGGGACAGAACCACTTGGTGGGTAAAACGTTGGGTTGGCATTGTTGCCATCATAAGTAGATACCTCGACGCCTATTGTCCAGTTGGGCGTCGTGTCGTAAAGTGCTGCATCGCCCAACATGAGCGTGCCAAAAGCAGTAGAATTGTTGAATGTTTGTGCGCCTCCCGCTTCTATAGCTGCTCTAGCGGCATTCATATTCCCTGGTGGTAAGGACCAGCCAGTATATGTAGCCTCTATGGGGATGGGCGTTGGGTGTGTGAAATGATTCGGGCCAGGCTCAAACCCGCCCCTTGCTGTCGACATGTTGGTCGTGGGAACAGAACTGCTTACGTACGGGTATGTAGTAGTTGGTTGCGAGGGGTGTCCTCGGTATTGGGGTGTAGAGTCTGGTTGGTAAACATGAGGGTTCGTTTGGGGACCATAGGTGGGAGTCTGTGTCGTTGGAGGTGTTTGGAGTCCTTGCTGATTTACAGGGGTAAAGGCGTTTGTGACTGTATCGCGTTGATTCGGTATATTATCAAATGTGCCTTCCTTCTCAGGTTTGACAGCAGCAGACGTGCGCGGCGACGTCTGCTCGGCAGAATCGTCATCGTGCGATAGCCTGGTGTCGGCCAAGTCAATGTCCCTGGTAGACCAGTTACTGTAGTCGTCGACTGTCTTGCCAAATTGCTTGTGCATCCTCTCAAAGAGTTGCGCGTAGTCTTTCAGTCCGCCCCCACCAACGCCATCACTATTGTTGCTCTTGGGAGAGTCACTGACTGAACCTCCACAGTCCCTGTACTTTTTCTTTTCGCGCCGATAGTACCGTTGCCACTCAGCCAGTTCACAGAGCCATGAGCGAGCCATCTTGAAGCGTTTAAGGATACGGAACAGGAAGCCGTTTGCAATGTCGTGAGCTCGGGGCTCGAGGCGTGATGAAAGCATGCTGTCAGGGTCCATGTTGGGAAAGTAGTGACAGTAAATGGCTATCACTGTTAGTAGAACGCTAGCAAAACTGAGGCGCAAAAAAAGAAAAAAAAGAAAAACTTACTGCATATACCAACAGCGAAGCAAGCAAATGCCACCGTAGGCGTCTGCACCGAGTCGCTGTGAACTCTAGTAGTCCCGATGGTATGTAGCAATTGGGTAAAGTCGCTACATGCCCGTGCGCAGTCCTTGGCTTGGTTGATCCAATACTCGGGGTCAGGAGGAGGTTCGTCAATGAGTGGTTCGTCTAGCGGGCCGCGAGGGTGTGTCAAAGTCCATGGCGACGTGGGCATGTATTCTCTGTACAGCCAAACAAAGCAAAGCGTGTACATGGCATGTATCGAAACATACTTTCCAGGGTTGTTGTAGATGCGGTCCTCGGTATTCTCCGCAGTCAATTGGAGATGGTCAGGCAGGTCACGCTTCAACTGCTTGAGCTTGTCTTCGAGTTTCTTGAACGTCGTGGTTGAATGCCATGGTGCGTTCTTGCCCTCTTGCCTGTTCGTTTGTTAGCCCCGCTAATGGATAGTCGGAAGATGCAATGCCCTACCGCCGTCCACTATTACACGACCACCGAACCACTTCGCCAAAAACAATAACGACCTTGATGTACCACGTGAGTTCGGCCTCGTGCTCACCAATCTCCCACTTTCCTCCATCTAACTGAGAAGCTCGATCCCCATTCTGCTCATTGCGGTGTTGTCGAGCAAGTGCGTCCCACTCTGCTCTCCGCTTGGCATATGCGACATCATCCTCGCCGAGCAGTCTTGTCCGCGCTTTGCGACCATAGTTGAATGCGCCATCACTACAGACCAGCTGGGTCCTTTGAAAGTGCTCAGGCCCCAGCATTGGCGGTCGGTCTTCTCCCCAGCTGAGATATGAGTCCATGAGGCAACAGCTCCAAAAGGTGCGGCGTTGAGTCTCGCGGAGAATGAATTGGTCCTTTTCAGAGAGCCGGCTCTCGCCTTCTCTTAATGGAGCCGGCTGGCCCTTCTGGTCGACATCGAGATGCGGATATCCGAGGACAATTGCACACCTAATGGCAGTTCCAATTTTGATCCAGCCCTCTCGGCCTTGCAGTGCCGTCCATTCGTAGTAGCCCAGCATGAGAAGTGTTTGGATCTTCTCTAGGGTTGGGGTGCCAAAGATTTCGGCACCCATCTGCGTGCGCGTGGCCTGGGCATAGAACTCGGCAGTCCTGATGGGGTCATTTTCGGTCTGCTGGACAAGCTTGTCATGGAAGCGGGCTGTGTGGGTAAGAAAGGCCAGGAGTAAAGGTGGGTATGGCTGGTGGAGCTGAGATTGTGTTTGTGTCTTGGCATCAGCGGAGTTGGCCAGAGGCTGTAGCTGCTGCACGGCACTCAAAAAGGTTCTCTTGTGCAAAAAGGGGAAATCAATGGAGAAGTGTTTTTCGTAAATGTCAAACTGGGTGGGGTGAGTAAGGATACAGGTGAGGGATGGCGGCGCGCATTTACCAGCTCTTCCCAGACCTGGGCAGTGAGGATAGGCGACTGAAGGGCATCTTCATAGGTGCCGAGGCCGTCTATTGGACGCTGTGCGCCAGGCGTCGTGGTGGCTAGAAGCTTGCGACGCTTCTTTGGCGGGGCCTGGTGGCAAGTCAGCACTAGGAGCGTCTTGTACATGGACGGGCAGGTCGTCGAGGCTTCAGCTACCATGACTTACTTACATCAAAGTCTGCGGTGCTGTCGCGTCGCGGGGGCGCCGAAGTGGTTGCGACAGCAGCGTGGTCCCAGATGCAGTCGCGCTTGGTGTTTGCGCAGGCCTTGCACGTGGTACCTTGACCAGCGTTTTCGCACTTGGTCTTACTTCGGCGACATCTGGCACATGCAATTTGTGAGCGCATGCCTCTTTTCGCGGAGGGTTCAGCACTACCGCTGGTGGCATCAAGGGGGCCTGGAGTTTGCTGTGGAGATGCCTTGACGGTGGATGGGGAACGCTGGGGTAAGGGCGAGTGTTGCTGCTGCTGCTGCTGTTGATGATGATGGTGAGGCTGTTGGTGTTGGTGTTGGTGGTGCTGGTGCTGGTTGGCGGGCGGCGATTGTAGCGGGCGGCGATTGTAGCGGACGGAGTGGTTGATGGTGTGCGTAAACAGGCAGTGCAGTTAGCCGCGGTGCATTCTCACCAGTCATGAGAGGAGGCAATGCGCGGCAGCAGGGCAAACTGGGGGTGGTCGGGGGGGGAGCAGTGAGCGGCCTGGTAATGCGTCGTCGGAACAAGCTTTTTGGGGGATGGTGGAGGTAGCCGTGGGTTGAAGGTCGAGTCCTGGTGAGGCTGGCTGGCGGGGTGGTGGACAGCTAGGGGCGGCGCAGACGCGTTGCTAGTCGCCTGGTCGTCGTCTGTCGCTGGCGCTGCTGGTGCTGGTGCTGTCGCCGGCGCTGGCTAGCCGGGGGAGCAATTGTGCACAGCGCGCGCGGGCCGGACAAGGCCAGATGCAGGGCTGCTGGGGGAGGGGGCAGATCGCAGAGGAAGCGAAGACGATCAGGGCCAGACGGCAGCAAAGGCGCAGGTGCGAGGGTGCAGAGTCGGGGCGTGCTGGAGGACTCGAGCGTGCAGTGCAGCTGGTGAATGGGGCAGCGTGTGCGGGACAGGACAGGACAGTCTGGCGTCGGATCGTGGGGTTCCAGAGAAGTGGTGGTGGATGCTGGGCTGGTGGATGCTGGGCTGGTGGATGCTGCTGGGCTGGTCATGGAGCTGCGGGCCTGACGGGTATTCAATTCATCGGCGCTGATTGCCCTATCGACGGGGCGCGGGCAACGGGGCAACTTGGCGTCGCCCGTCCTTTAAGCGATGCCTCCCGCCCACCGTACCGTCCGCCCAAGTCATCGTCGTCGTCTGCCGCGCTGCCGTAAGACGTTATGCTTGTCATGCTTGCCGCTACGTCATGCCCCAGCCAGCACACGGCCTGGCCGTCGCCGACTTGCACTTGCACTTGCACTTGCACTTGGACGGCGGCCCGCCGAGGAGCCATGCACCGATCGCAGCCGTCGTCGCAGCCCGTGTCGCGGTCGCGGTCGCGGTCGCTGGCTGTCGCTGTGTGTCGCTGTCTGCCTTCTGTCGGGCTGCTCGTGCTGGCCGTCGCATTGGCTCGACACGTGGGCTGGCCTCGGACCTTCACATGACATGAGCCTCTCGGCCCTGTCTTCCCCATTGAGCGCCCTGCGCATGCTCCACACCTACACAGCGACGGGCCTGGGCATGCTATGGACACGGCACTTGCTATGTATGTACACAACCACAGACAGCATCGCCGCTCATCAGGCTGCCGTTGCGTCTGACAGACAGGCAGGCAGCCTGATGAGCTGTCGCCCAAGCCCTTCCGCGGAACGGGGGGCATAGCAATCCATTGCCCCGTGTGGCCATGGCCGGGCCTCGCATGACGGCGTGTGGAAGAGACGCTGCACTGCACAGCACTGCACACGGGGGCGTGGTGTGGCGCCAAGCATTCCACCCTGCCCATCCAGTCTACTATGTAGCACGAGCAAGCCCATCATCAGCTCGCCGGGTGGTGTCAGTACTTTACTTACTTCCACCATGCGCGGGGAACGTTTGCGCCCCTCGTCGCTGCCGCTTGGCGGGCCATGTCGTGCATACGCATGCGTCCGCACCCTCAGCCTGGCCGCGGTGAGATTCTGCGCTGCCCATGCTGCTGCCACACATGCCTGCGCTGCTGCATCGCGCCCAATCCGGCTGTCCACCTGCCCTCCTCGCCGCTTACCGCGACTGTCGACAGAGGTGACGCCTGTGCCTCTCGCCCGTCCGAGGCCTCGCGACATAACCACACCTGCATAGCGCGCTGATACGGCCGCCATATGCAGTGCCACACACGAGTGGAGAGGATTGCGTGATTATTCTTCCAATCGCCATTCCCCGACCTACGCTACTTGTCTAGATGCGCCCACCCGCCCACGTGTTCCCGTTCCCACCTCGCGCCTGCTTTCGGAATCCCTCAGCCTCGCCCCTCTTACCACTTTTCAACCGCCGGCCTAAGGTCAATCTCCCACGTAAAGTTGGTCTTGGGCTGCGTGTGCAACCACCAGTAATCATTTGCAATCTGCACATCGCCCTCCCATTAGCCTTGGATTGCCCGCTTTCCACTTTGCCCGCAAGAAACAATCAAACATGTACAAGTAAAAAGGGCAGACGGTGTACACTTACCGCATCCGCACTCAACTTGGCCTCCGCAGGCATGTCCTTGAGCCACTCCTTGGTCCTCGGAATGTCAATCACTCCATCAATAATCGCATGCGCAACATGCACCCCCTGCGGGCCAAACTCGCGTGCCAGGCTCTGACTGAGCGCCCTCAGCGCCCACTTGCCTGTCGAGAAAGATGCCATTTGCGCATTGCTCTTGACCGATGCTGTGGCCCCTGTGAAGATGAGCGACGGTGGGTGCTCTGACTGCTGCTGCACACCCTTAAGCAGCAGCGGCAGGAACGACTGGCTGAACAGAATCCCCCCCATTGCGCTAACCCCCAGGCTGGCCTGGAAAACATCCGCCCCAATCTCCAGGAACGGTTTCCGAAGAAACCCACCAGACGCATTGAAAATGGCCGCTGCCGCCCCCACATCTGCTCCGAATTCTTCCTTGATCTTCGCAACTGCATTCCCCAGGCTGCCCGCGTCTGACACGTCAGTGCTGATGCCAATCGCCCTACCTCCCTTGGAGTTTATTTCGTGTGCCAGGCCTTCGTAGTTCTCCGCCTTGCGCGCAAGCAGCACTACCGGATACTTGGCCGAGAACTTGCGGGCTATCGATGCCCCAGTTCCGGGCCCGACGCCGGCAACAACTGCAATCAGTCTCGAGGTCATGATGCGTGATGTGATGTGGCTGGAAAACGACAATGTGATCTTGGGAACAACAAGAGAGCCAAAAAAAACAAGACGGTTTTATGTATTGTTTACGATTCACTATGACGAGCTCACAATTACCCTCTTATAACAACAACCAGAGGTAGTCCGAGGTATATGTTTACTAACCCTCCAGTGGCATCATATCGCTCTCGGATTGCATAAACGCCGAATCATGGAGGGCAAGGTACGTCATGATTACTAAGCACATAGTTGTCCGATATGCACATTCATCTACACAAACACATGGAGGCTTGGCTAAAACCTTAATCATCATAACTTCGTGCTTGTAAATGCCATCTATGCTTTTGTTATGCTAACCATGTCCTCGTCACGAGCACTGCCGCCATGTTCCTAGGCCCTCCCGGCCCTGCCGACCTGTATCATCTCACCAGTAGGTTTCTCGTCACTCCTCAACACTGGCCAGCTCGCTCCGTCAGCCTTGACAAGAGTCATCTCAAGCTTGGTCCCCAGGATCCGGAACTTGCTCTCTTCCGGTTTGATCGTCGAGAACAGGGGAAACTCGGTTTGGTAGCGCTTACTGTCGCTCGTAGGCAGGTCAAGTTTCACACTTGACGGCTGGAACTCAACGCTTGCAGTGGCCTTGTCAATCTTCTTGAGGTAGAGCGAGGCGACCACCAAAGTCGCCGTTTGGTAGTAGTCGTGTCTGCCACATTGTCAGCAGCCATCCTGGAGCACTATCAAAAACCATACTCACCGGACTGTATCCAGCTTCTCCTCACCCTCCTTCTTCTTGCCACTGCCAACAAACAAATGTCTGTCCTTTGTCTTACAGCCCTCGATATTCATAAACTGGTCAAATTCCAACACTCTCCTCTTGCAACAACTCCATCCCTTGCTGCCTTCATGGAAGATGGGCGCACCAGGATGATGTACACAGCTCTCCCCTTGTCTATCGCCTCCCTTGTGCACAGCACCGCACCCTTTCCTCCTGCATGCCATCCCCTCCTTCACCGCTATGCTTGGGTCGTCGTCTTCGGACTCTGGGGGTGGGGCAGGCGAGGCTGTGGGCTTGGGCGCAGCTTGTGCAGTAGGTACTCGGGGCGCGGGCGGTGGAAGAGACTCGTCGAGCGATCCTAGATTGACTGGTGTGCCATTGGGTACATCGGGAGCCTCAACTGGCTCGGGCGCAGGCGTGTCGTCTACATCGGAATGCTTGCCCTTTGTGCAAGGCTCGATTGCGAGGAACTCATCAAACGTCAGGACGCGAGGTTTGCAGCATTTCCAGCCTAGATCACCATGAATCAGTCCATCTGGCCCAATTCAAAGCCATCGCCTCATGCTGACCTACCTTTCTGCCCCTCGTGGAAGACTGGTGGGCCTGGGTGGTAGACGCACTCTTCGTTTTCGTCCTCGTATGTCTTGCCGCACCCTTTGTGAACGCACTTTTTCGCCATGTTAAAGATTCTCAGAATTGCACAAAACCGAATGTGTACTGGACGTCGAGGGCGTGCTCTTTACGTTGGTGTCGTGAACCCCAGATGTTCACCTCACGCGTCGGAATATTCTGGAACGTTGCACATCCATCATGTCATAGGCTGGGGTCCAAGCGCGGACCTTGCTTCTGGTAGGGTACACGAGGCGTCCCCGTTTGGTGCTCGGCCAAGGCGCAACCAAACTTTGCATCTCTTCTATCTGGGGCCTGACGACTGTTGCTGGATGCTTCTCGGCTGCTTTGCTTCGCGCCGCAGCCGCCCGCCATGTTGCGCGCTACCTCTCGCTTACTCGCCTGCCGCATCACCTTCTTCACCCGAACCCCATGCAGCCTTTGCGACGATGCAAAAGCTGTTGTCCATAATGTAAAGGCAAAGCGGCCGCTCGAGTACCATGAGATCAATGTCATGGAACAGGGCCAGGACAAGTGGAAAGGCTTATACGAGTTTGATACCCCAGTGGTAAGCCAACCTGGACAATCTCTGTCTATATATATGCTTTCCTGAAGAGTACCTGAATGTTCGACTAGATCCACATCGACAAGGCTGGATCTCAGGAAACTTCGGCATCGTCGCTTAAGCTCATGCATCGCTTCAAGGAAGAAGACGTGATGAAGCTGATGGATCAGGCCGAGCGAGCTTGAGGCTGCACGCCCACAACCTAATTATTGCGAGACACTGTCTGCTCCCTTTTCAGTCTCTCCCAATATCATCAAAAGTTCATTTCTCCCAGTCAATACCACGTGAACTTCTTGATGCAGCCATTACACAGATCACGAGACTCGCTTGTAGTGTAGCGGTGAGGCGTATAGTGGAGAACATACAATCCTCAGACAGCCTCACCACTCCTCATCCTATATAATCTCGCATTTCATCGGCATAATCGGTTGAACGGGATTGAACACGAACAAAGAAAACATACATGCATGTTTTGCATGCGCTCTTTTCCTTTGGCGTTGTTCAATGAGTGCATCAAGCCGACGTTGCGACAGCACTGGAAACCATCAAAGAGCAAGGAAAACATTAACAATTTTAGTCATTCGACCAAACAAGATTCATGCTAGAATAGACCACGGGTAATTAAACATGCAACTCGATGTACACAGCAAAGAACAAAAGGTGTTATGGTAGGGTCTGTGGCCGCCCAAACAGATCGGTATTAAAGCCACTAGTGTGCATACATCTCATGTCTGCCAGGACGAACACTCCTCTTGATGATGACCAACAAGGAAAAGCAAATTGATGCTCATGTGGACGTTCCTATACTCAATCCCGTACCATCCAATCAGGCTGCTCGACTGTCCATTCTTTACAAATATTTTCCTTCCCCGCTGATCCCTTTGAACAAGAACGGTAAATGGGCTTGCAGCCACCAGCTAGACGAACGGTGTAATAGTTGGTTTCTCACGCTAGTTGCATTCAGATGCATGCATCTGCATCAATGAAGCGACCATCCTCTCTACCACTGGGATCATTACGGAGCATTTGATGCTACCTGATAGTGTCTTTTAGGCATTTTGTATTCATGGAATACTCTTTTAATTGCAGATACAATTCAAGATTCATTTTCCCCTTTGCCTGGGCAGTCATTGGGTAAGGCCAAAAGCATATCGTATTATCTAGGTACAAGTAATTGCATACATGTGTATGCACCTTATGTTAGTACACAGGAAAAGCAAACACGAAAGGCCCGGGCCGACCCCGCATGATCATGCTCCACCATTCCCCCACACCCGCTCTACCAGCATCTACTCTCGAATTAGTTCAATCACCTACTAATCGTGATATTCATATGCCTTGGAGAATTCACATCAATCTCTTCTAACGAGACCAAACTCAAGTTTGCACGAGAGCCCCCTTGAAATGAGATATGGGGAGCAATTAGTATGCGGCAGCATACCCACTCCCCTCACATAACGCCCATCGAGTGTGAGAAAAAGCAGATGCATATTGCATACATGTGCATACCTTGCATACGTATACATCTAATGTTGGAGTCATGTGTCTAGATTCAATTGGCCATGGCAATCTTCATACCGAAGCAGAGGTTTTTCTGTGTCCAAATCGTCTATATAAACCCCTTCGATCTGCCTCCTTGGAGTCAACCATCACACTCAAGCCTCTAATTCATCTACACAGACCACTCCACTTCCACTCACCCAATACCCAATCTTTCCAACAACAACCTCCTTCACCATGTCTGACTACACCGGCCCTGGAATCTACACCATTTCTCCTTTCCACGCCCCCGACATGGAACTCGATATCTGGAAAGGTGAAAAGAAGGAAGGCACCCAAGTCAAGCTCTAGTACAACATCCCTTTTCCATATCCATCCTTTTTTTCCCTGTCTTTCGAAAACTTTCTGACTAACAGGTTAACAGCAAGAAAGCCCCAACTGCGGCAAACCATCAATTCCAAATTGTCTATGCTGGAGGCGCCGGCGGTAACCCTGAGAAGGGCGACCGCGAGTACTTCATCATCCCCGTCAACTCTGGTCTCTACGTCACTGCTCATGGTACTAAGAAGGCAATCTACTGGCAGCAACTAGAAAGTGATGAACTGACACAAAGCCCATAGACACGAGCAAGGTAGTCACGACCCAGCTCCTTCCCCCCAAGGATGCCGCAATCCGCTGGAAGCTTCAGCACGCCGGAAATGGCGCCTATTAGTGAGTGTCTCATTCTTTTTCTCTTTCGGATTCGGAGTTGCGCTAATCGCGATACAGCATCAACCACGTGGATGGCAAGAAGCAGCTCAACGTCCGTGGCAGTGGCAAAGATGAAGGAACAGAAGTCATCACTTACGGAATGGCGACAACTCCCAACTGCCAGTTCATCCTCAGGGCGGCAGCATAAAGACGGTATCAAGGCTACGCTATTGCTGATTACTAGTATCTAGAGAGCCTTGAGTCATCAGTAACGTAGTGTTGTTGTGCTGTGCGGCACTGCACTGTACTACCCGCTGGTTGAGAGAACCGACTTCTAGGTCGGGAGACTCTTCAAAACTCTTCCGTCACTGAGCTTATGTAGTCACTTTGCGATATCTGGATAAATAGCAACCGAACAAGTCACTCGAATTGCCTCTCATGCACTACCTTTTTGATGCACGATACAGTCATAATGCGATTACTTGTCCCCAACATCTGCACACCACACACGAATGCTTCTGATAAGCTATTGTCTAGACTTGAACTTGTCTATCGACTAGCGCTCCAATTTTTCTCATGTGTATGCAAATACCCCGACAACCATTACGTGCGCGTTACGCACTCCAGCAAGCCGCTTCTTATACATGTGCAGTGTAACGTTACAGCCGGAGATTGATTTTGGGGAACTGGCTCTTGCCGACGTTTCGCTCTTCGACTAGTTATACTTTGTTTCTCCACATTTCTCTCCAAGGTGCCTGGATTAATGGAGACTCTGAACCGCTAGACTCGTGTGCTTTCAATAGACAGCGACATGATCAATACCAATCTCAACCAATTATACATCACCCTGAAACAAGCTTCTGAACCCTAGCCATCAGCCACCTTCCGGATTACCTATCTGGTCTCCCCACGGAGCCGCATCCTTCTACCGCGGTGTGGGGGTAATATGTGGGGAAGCACGCTCCACCACCGTGCTACCCCTCCTACGTATACTAGTACGCACAGCTATGACGATGCTACACTCTCTCCGCCGAGTAACTCTACCACGCCTACTACTCGCAAAACAAGTCCCGATCAATCTCAATCCCGCCTCACACAAGCCCAACGTCACATTTCTCTCACTCAGAAAAATGAACACCCTCCAGGAAGCAAGCAGAATCTACAAGGCCCTTCAGAAACCCGGTCCGACATTCGGAGGATGGCAGGTCTGTTTCCACCAAGCAACAGACCCTCAAACACCACTAATGAATGTATACTGAAGAAGAATGCAGATGCTCCCAGGCACTAACCTCGCCCGCTCAATTGCCCGCTCAGGCGTCGACTGGATCTGCGTCGACACAGAACACGGCAACATATCCGACAGCGAAATGCACGAAGCCGTAACCGCCATTGCGCTCACAGGCGTAAGTCCGCTGGTGCGAATAGCTTCCAACGAGGCGTGGATGGTGAAGCGTAAGTTCCTTTGTCCACCCCTCACCCTCAACTGCTCGACTTCCTCCCCCCCCCCCAAAAAAAAACACTTCCAAAGAAGATACAAGAAAAAAACCACCAGCAGTAGAATATCTTTTACTTTTGAATGTTAATTTACATAATAATAACCCAAAAAAAATAACAATAAAATACGTAGGCGCCCTCGACTCCGGAGCTCACGGCATAATCGTCCCCCTAATCTACACCGTCGACGACGCAAAACGCCTCGTGTCGTCCGCCAAATTCCCTCCCCAAGGTACCCGCGGCTTCGGATCCCCTTTGCCAACCCAGTGTTTTGGAAACGAAGCAATGTCGTATTACTTGCAACATGCGAATTCGTCAGTCCCCCCCCCNAAACAACAACAACAACAACAACCACCTTGACACCAAATAACTTTTTTTTTCTTCTTCTTCTTCTTCTTCTTTCAAAAATCGCTAACGCCAAGCCCCCCCCAACTCAGAACCCTCATAACAATAGTCCAAATCGAAACCCGCCCCGCTCTCGACCATGTCCGCGAAATCGCTGCGTTACCCGGTGTAGACGTCCTGCTCATCGGGCCCTTTGATCTCGCCAATAACATTGGGCATCCCATTCTCACGGGCCAAATCGCGCCAGAGCTCGCGGCCGCGATTGACAAGATTAAAGAGGCGGCGCATGCAGAGGGCAAGAAAGTGGCCATTTATTGTAACTCGGGCGAGGATGCGAGGAGGTATGCGCAGAGGGGGTTCGACATGATGAGTGTTTTGACCGATCAGATTGGCATTACGGGTGCGTTTCAGGCGAGTCTGAAGGTGGCGAGTGGCGAGGTTGACGCGAGTGCTGGCGATGGGAGGGTCAAGGGGTATGATGGGAGGTGAGGAATACGAAACTTTGGTCATGACGGTATATTTCGACTGTTGCATGTTTTTGAATGTTTTGAGGAGATTTCAAAAGGACCGCTGAATGCAACGGGTCTAATGTACATTTTCTTTCTTCGCCTTGGCTTTCTGGAAGAACAGCAAGAGGGGAATCTATTCCTACGCACGCATTTCCAGACCACAGTGGAATGCTTTAACCTTTCATGTTCGTACAGAAAAATGCCATTCCATCAGTAGGGTCGGCTATAGGGATTTGGGAAAGGGGAGGCAAAGTAGGCAGACAGGTAAGATAGGTTCCGGGCTTCTTTCGTAAAACTACTACACTTGTCGACGAGATGCAGATTTGGCTTTCTTGTTACGCCTCATGGATATCATGCGGCCGCCCTGGGCAACTTGGCCGTTGCCGTTGCTGCGTGACATTGAGCAGGCTGGGTGTTCATCCGAAGCGGACATGGAAGCCATGACGAATGAGTCGGTATTGTGTCCGTAATACAGCAACACGCCGGTGCGCACTTTCTTGACACCTAGAATGCCAATAGCTCCGGCAGAATTACTGTGTCTGACACTTGGATGACCTGGGTATTATTAGCATAATCAAAGCAGCACTCTGGAAAGCCACTTACCCATAAACTCATTCTCGATCATGGCTTTCAAAGCTTCATCTTCGGTGACCTCGATGTACTCTCCGCCACGACCCTTCTTCACACTCTGGTAGAGTCGCTCGGCACAAACCGTAGCTGCCATAGTTGTCGCCATATGCTCACCAGTCCCGCTAGTAACAGTCGCCACACATATCTGTTCGGGGTCGTTTGGATCAGCGGGAATGACTGCAGTGCCTACTCCGACGAGAGCTGCAGGGCCGACACGCCCACGATACTTCATACCAATACCCCCAGAAGAAGCACCACAAGCTATGTTGCCCCAACCGTCTATCGCAATGGCTCCAACAGTGTCAGTGATGTGATCTTCCTCGGGTTGTTGAGGACCTGGTCTGGGTAGAACTGGCCGAGTTGGGCTGGTCTCTGTAGTCTTGCTGTCCATAGTCTTAAGCAGGTCAGACTCCGCTGTTTCTTCGTGAGATTTTATTGAAGAATGGACCTTCGCTGTCTTAGCGCTGAATCCAGAATCGGAATCATCGCTCGAACCATCACCCCAAGCCTTGCGTGAAAAGGCCCCATGTATTTCTTCCTGTGGGCTGGTATCCATGGCACTATTGTAACCCAAGTCAGGACCCACATGAGTATCTCTGCAGTGACTTAGGGTAGGCACCGTCTGCGTGCTATTGATGAAAGCATTTCGAGAAGGATTGTCAATCAACGATGTTTGTTCAGACAATTCCGGGGTATTGATCTGATCGTCACTGTTCCAAGAACCCGAAGATCGTTTTGATAGAGGCAGAGAATCAGACTGGTTACTTTCAGCTTGGTCATACATTGTGTCGTCCGAAGATAGGGGAGAGTGTGATTGCGAGAGGAATGTGCAGGCTGCTAGCAAGTTCTGAGTGTGCTGTTCGCGCATCCGTTGCCGTTCAGCCTCATCTTCTGATTCGAGTTTCTCCCTGATCTTCCAGCACGACGGGTGTATGCCGCTCTTCTTCGATTTGCGTTCGGCGGATCTCAAATCCGAGAGCCATCGCATCCAGCGGTCTTTGGCAGCTGGTGAGATTAGTGCATCGTGCGGCAGAATCGGCATACCCATTTCGATGGCGAAATCGGTAGCGCCTTGGGAGACCAGAAGGTTTGGAGGGACTCGGCGCAGTGTAAGCGGATCCATGGTATGGTCGTGAACCATACGTGCTAGAGATATGGGATTCTTGATTTCTGTCAAGAATCGTCAATAATGAGCAACATGCCTTCATCTCCAATAACTTACGAGCCACGGCACCAACGGCCCCGCTACGTCCATAATGATCCACGATGGAGGCATCGCATTCCACAACACCGTCCATGGCAAGGTTGCTTCCGTACCCAGCATTGGTAATCTCTCTGTCTTCAAGCGTCTTGATGGCAATCTCAACAGCGTCTAATGCAGAGCCCCCGTTCTTGAGAATAAGCATGGCGATTTGTGCGGCACTAAAGAAGATGAGCAAAAGTTTAGTAAGACTTTACAATGCCAGGAATACCTACTCGTTGCATGCCTCTAGGTGTATCCTCTCGTTTTGGTGGCTGTGGTACCCAGCCCCAGCATGGACATAGATGCAGCATATGTTGTCGTGGGGCGGACTACGCGCCGCTTTGCGTGCTTGTGTATCGACATGGGGCACTCCATCTACAGGCGCAAATTGATGACCAGGAACCGACATGCCTTTGTGCGCCGAAAAGCACCGGCGTATATGTCGAAAGTGAGGGGCGAAAGTATCCAGCGTACGGCACAACTGCCACCGGGTGCTCTTTGAACGAAGCCGAATATGTGAATGTACAAGCCGTGTTTGCGTTGAGCACGTGCCCGGCGCAAGCTGGTGTAGTGACCTTCAATTGTTGGAAATCGTAAGGAGGAGCAGGTTTCAAGCGGCCATGCAAGATGGTGACGGCCTCAGAATCAATGATGAAATAGATAGGGTATGGAAATAGCACAGGTTGACTGAGAGAGAGAAAAGAGAAGAGTAAGAAGGGAAAATAAATTAAGAAATCGAGGCGACGGTGAAGGGACTGCTCGGCACGGGCTAGTGGAGAAATGAGAGTCGGAGAGAGATGCTCGGCGAGCGCTGTAGGGCTACGGTCAGTGAAGGAGGAGAGGTTAGCAGTACGTAGGCAATGTCAGAGCTTTGTTAGCGAAAGGCTCTTTCCTTTGCGTCTGTTGAAGCTATATGCGTGGCATATGAATCATCATGTATGACGCGACAAAAGACAGGCACGGCAGTCTGAGAAGAAGGAGCGACAGACAGTGTTTACAAACAGAGAGCTGCAGCGAGCTGGGACGTGGCTCACCCACAAGTAATAGCGGCCCCCGCCATTGTCTCCCAATTCCCGCTGCCAAGAGCGGAGCGGGGCGGTGCCTGATTCGACGACAGCCCACATGCACCCGACGCCGACCTCCGCCATCACCTCTCTGACGAAGCCACCTCCACACCTACTTCTCGCTTTTCTCCTCCACCCGGGTTTCCTTCAGCTGCTTTTGCATATTTGTTTTTGTAGCAAGCAGCAGCAGTAAATATGGCGTCCCAAACCCCCGCCGTTGTCATGGACAAGTAAGCTCACAGCTGCCTGTTGGCATCCCCACTCCCAATTGAGTACTGACGTTGGCACACAGCGGTACGGGATACTCGAAGCTCGGTATGCTAGACATTGATTCCACACTCTCCAGCTCTTAGTAACGCCCAACCCCAGGTTTCGCCGGCAACGACTCCCCATCCTTCGTCTTTCCCACCGCGATAGCTACCAAGGGCCCAACTGGCGGTACCGGCGGATCTGGCTCTGGACGCCCAGCTGTCGCAAACAAACCCTCATTTCTGACTGGTGGTGCTGGGCCTGGTGGGCATCTTTCTGGGAAGCGAGGCACCGAAGACCTGGACTTCTTCATTGGTGATGAAGCTCTGGCCGCAGCAGGAGGCGCGGGCTATGGCATCAACTACCCAATTAGACACGGCCAGATAGACAACTGGGTATGACGATTCATTACGAAGGATGAGGCCAAAAACTGATGCTCGGCAGGATCTCATGGAGCGTTTCTGGTCCAATTCGATATTCAAGTACCTGCGAGTAGAGCCCGAAGACCATCACTTCCTGCTCACTGAACCAGTATGCCGTCCTTTGACAACTCAGGAAACACATATGCCAACTGATTTCTAGCCATTGAACCCCCCAGAGAACCGCGAAGCCACCGCCGAGATCATGTTCGAGTCCTTCAACGTCGCCGGTCTCTACATTGCCGTGCAAGCTGTGCTTGCATTGGCCGCGTCATGGACAAGCTCCAAGGTGCAGGACAGATCCCTCACGGGTACCGTCATCGACTCTGGTGCTGGTGTTACGCACGTTATCCCAGTTGCTGAAGGTTACGTCATTGGCTCCTCAATCAAGAGTGTCCCCATTGCCGGTCGAGACATTACCAACTTTGTTCAATCGCTCCTCCGAGAACGTGGCGAGCCTGACTCGTCCCTTCAGACCGCCGAGCGCATCAAAGAGGAATTTTGTTACGTCTGCCCCGATATCGTAAAGGAGTTTGCACGCTTCGACCGCGAATCAGACGACCGCTTCAAGAAGTATACGGTCAACTATCCCAATGGCAGGACCGCCTCCGTAGATGTCGGTTACGAGCGTTTTCTCGCACCTGAAATCTTCTTCAACCCCGAGATTTACTCCTCCGATTTCTTGACCCCGCTACCCACCATTGTCGATACCGTCATTCAGTCCTCACCCATCGATGTACGTAGGGGACTGTACAAGAACATTGTTCTATCTGGTGGTTCAACACTCTACAAAGACTTCGGTCGCCGCTTGCAGCGTGACATTAGACACATGGTTGATGCCAGGATCAAGGCCTCGGAAGCACGGAGTGGAGGTGCAAAGAGTGGTGGTTTGGATGTGCAGGTCATTACTCACAAGAGACAAAGACACGGTCCTTGGTTCGGAGGCAGTTTGCTCGGACAGACGCCCGAATTCAAGAGCTATTGCCACACCAAGGCGGAGTACGATGAAATCGGCCCCAGCATTGTCAGACGGTTCGCCCTGCTTGGTGGACCAGGAAGCACGTAACCGGCCAAACATGAGAATACCAGGCAAGCGTATATGTGAGAAGAATTTACTAAGCGAGCATAAAAGAAGTGCAAAGCTGTCGAGAATACCAGGATTGACATCACAATATGAATTTCATGTGATTGTGCAAATGTGATATGTCTGCCAAAATGCGAGTAGCGTTTTCCAGAAAATTTGACCAAGCATATGAGGCAGTGAAGGCCTTTACGTTTGTATGCTGATATATGCGCCGGATAGAAAAAGATTGTCTGACCGTATGTCTCACCCCAAAAAACGCCAGAGATTTGCAGACCAACTACTCCATCGTCACCTCACCACTCTATGCCCCGTTAGTTTCTCCAACTGACCCAATTTTCTTCCTACTCAACACAGCAACACCCTCTACATGCCCCGTCTGAGGGAAGAAGTCGAAGCCCCTCAGGCTTTCAATCTCATAGCATCCCTTTCCCTCTCCAAACCCGCCATCCACGCCCCTCATGCCACCAACCAAAACACCAACATCCCTAGCCTGCGTATGGACATTGCAACTCACGTAGACGATTCTCGCAGGGCCATATTCCACTAACTGCCGCAGAAAAGATTCATCACAACCTTTTCGCGGCGGATCAAGCATAACGACTGTTTCGTCGGCAGGAGACGTGATCGATTCAAAGAGGCGTGCAGCATTCGCAGCGATGAAGCGTGCGGAGTTTTCTGGCAGATTGTTCAGACGCGCATTCTTGCTTGCACACTGGATGCTCTCCAAGGAAATGTCGATGCCCAGCGAGGTTTTGAATAAACTTGAGAGCGTGATTGTGAAAAGGCCTGAGCCAGAGTATGCGTCGATGAGATGGCTGATTTTGTGGTCGGGGGAAGAAGGTAAGATGTGCTCGCGGATGTACTGGGTGAAGACGGGGAGGATGCTGTTGTTGTTTTGGAAAAAGGAGCCTGCTGGGTTGACGAATTGGAAGTCGTCAACGTATTCGGTGGATTTCGCGTTGGGGTCTGTTATGCATATCTTGCTATGGATGTGGTCGCCTCGGTCTTCGATGACTGCGAGTGGGTCTGCTTGCATCGTAGGGTCGTATTCGGATTTGGGTATCCGGGTAGTGCTTTCGCGGAGGAGGATGGTGGCGCCTCTGTGATACTTCTCGAGGGTATCGGCGACGCGTTTGCGTTCGCGCTTGTTGCCTGCGCGCACAGCATCCGTACCGATTGGGCAGTCTTCTATGTCGATGGTGATCCTGGTTCCTTTCTTCATGAAGCCAATCGGTGGTACTTCTTTGAATCTACGTCTGATGCCATGTCGCCCGTCGCTTCGACGAGCATCCGGTGGACCATCAAAGTGCGGCGTAAGCTTTGTCCTGTATCCGTATTGTAGGGGTGAGCCAATTGTGTCGCCAATAGTCGGGATGAGCTCAGGTGATAAGTTAGAAAAGTTTTGGAAAGCTTTTTGAACGATTGACTTTTTGTGTTCCAGTTGGAAATCGTAGGGCAGCATCTGAAATTGACAACCCGAGCAACTGGAAAAGTAGGGGCACTTTATCAGCGACGAGTCGCGGTGAATTGAGGGCGTGACAACATTGACAAAATCGGCCATGGTGTATTTTTCCTTCTCGGCATGCCTGTGTGGACGTGCGGTGACAACATCTCCTGGCGCACTGAAAGGTACAACAATGACTTGATCTGAATCCGAACCTTGCTGAAATCCAAGACCCTCTCCGGTAGATGATAATTCCTTGATCTCGACAGTAATTTCTTTGAACTTTTCGGGTAGTTGCGTTGTTGCCTCTTTCCCTTCTCTTTCTAACTTCAATTTTTTGATGAGCGCAGTGACATCCTCCAATAAGACCTCCTCGTTGGTACCGTTCGTCTTTAGTATCTTGCTTTGCTCGGCATGGCCGTTCTTCATTCGTTTGTTCTTGAATCTGTAATTTCCTCGTGAACCTTCCTCGCTACGCAAAGGCGTCTCGGCGTGTCTTTTTGCGCCATTACTCTCGATGGGAGCAACATTATCTGCGGAAGAGGCCATACTGCGCTTGGCAATATGGGAATACCGGCGACTGCTCAGCAGAGTCGGAAGTGGTCGACCGAGAATTCGGGAGTACATGGATCAAGTCTCACGGTCGAGAAAAGTTATGTTAGTCAGTCAGTTGGGAAGAGAGGTGATTGGCTACAGCATTTCCTGCCCATGCCGCTTAGTCACCGTGAACTTTCCGAACTTCACTTTCAAGCACCACCAAGCGCGCAGACTACCCGCTATTATAGCCTCTCTACGCTCAATTGGCCCTCGCGACGAGGTTCAAGGGGAAAAATGAGCGTCTGCCGCCCCGCAAGATGTCTCTTTACCAAGGCCGCCTCAACGACCCTTCCTAAACCACCACCACAACGCACTTTCCATGCCTCCACATCTCGGCAAGCCCGCAAGAAGCGACCGCATTACCCGTCGATAAAGGCAGACGAACTCAAGCTTCTCAACCAGGCCGCCGAGGCCGAGTACCCAAAATACGACACCTCGGAAACAGCGCTCCTCGAGAAAAAATATACACCCTCGCAAATCGCCGCCATCAAAGCCGCAGAAACTACAATCGATGCCCGAGATGTCCTTACGCAGGGTCAGCGAAGAACCGATTTTTGGCGGCTCAACTACGAAGACGATCTTGCGGAAGTCGATCCAGTGACCGACCGGCCTGAGAAGCTGACAGGAGACGACATTGAGGGGCCAAAGACATTTCGGATTGCCAACGAGGTGGAACGAGATGAGAATATTTCCCGTATTGCATCGGAGAACCTGGCAAAAATGTACCCCGACGGCATACCAGAGGACGACCCGGGCCTACAAAACGCCATGGATGCGGCCATTACGCAGGCTGCCCTCGATCCGCGCGCAACATATACATCGAAAAACCCTGCCGCACTCCAGGCGCTCGGCGACGAACGTCACTCTGTGATTGCGCCCGATCTACCGAGGGTAGAAAACCGCATGGCACGCCAAACCCGCCGACTCTCAACCGAAGAGGAGGAAGATCCTCGACAGAAGCGCCTTTTGCAATACCTGGGTTGGGATAAGCAAAAATTGCGCAGCATCAGAGTCAAGACACTGGTTGTTCACGGTGTTACGAACCAGACGCGCATGGGCAAGATTAGGAGTTTATACTACCTCACCATTGCGGGGAACCAAGACGGTCTACTAGGTGTGGGAGAGGGCAAGTCCGTCGAACCCGAAGAAGGCAGGAAACAAAGTGTCATGAGTGCGATTAGGAACATGAGGCCCGTCCCACGATACGAGAACAGGACGACTTTTGGAGACTTGGAGAAGAAGGTTGGCGCGACAAAGGTGCAGCTTTTTTCAAGACCACCAGGTAAGTTTTTCATTCAGTCGTCAAGTATTTGCCAAAGTTTTCCATATTTCCAAGCAGTTTTGCTAACAGGTTAATAAATTAGGCTTCGGTCTCCGCGTCCAACATCTCATCTTCGAGCTCGCCCGCGCAGCCGGCCTCCAAGACCTCTCTGCCAAAACTCCCCGCTCAAGAAACAAAATGAACGTCATCAAGGCTACCTGGGAAGCCCTCACCAGCCAGAAGCTGCCCGACGAAATTGCCAGAGCACGCGGCAAGAAGCTGGTCGATGTACGCAAGGTGTACTATGGAGGCTCCATACACTAGACGAACACACCATGTATGAATGTTCCAATGTAAAAGAGGGGTCAAGACATGGGAGTGACAAATGTATCATAACTTGTATGCATTGGGGGGAGGAAGGGCTGGGAGGTACAATACAGCATACGCATATAAGCGTTTTTTTTGTAGCAGAAGAAACCTCTTGTACATCATACCCTTTCCATCTTTTCCCGTAATCCTCCCTCCCTCGCTCCCTTCTCATATCACCATATCCTTGCAGTGCCTCTTACTAATCCATTTCACCTGTGGGTATCATAATTCTCCTTCAATTCCTCCCATCCCTTTCCTTGTCCACTTCCCCCCCCCCGCTTGACATACCATCTGGCCCTCCCTCCTGCTTACATATCATCCTCCCCTCCTTCCTCCCCAAGCCCCCCCTCCCCGCCATCCGTCTCAATCTGCTGGTTCAAAACGATACTATACACACTCGCCTTCAACAGCGTGAATACCAAGGATGTCTTGCGTTCGAGGCCGCGGAGGCCGTCGAGGATTATGGCGCTGGGGTTGTTGGAGAGCGTGAGGAGCAGGGAGGACATCTGTTTGTCTGGGTATCAGTCATTGCCCGTTGTGGGGTGGGGGAAGGAAGTAGGCATACGGTATTCAAGTTCTCGAGTAATCGAGCGTATTCATCCAATACTTCTTGTTCGAGCGGTGTGAGGGTTTCTTCGTCGTCGGCGAAGTTTGCGTCTTGGGGGTCGATTGATGCCATTGTTCTCTTTTTTTTTCGTCTAGCGGAAAGGGGTGTGTTCGGGGGGTTTTTTTTTATTTCGTTTCTTCGGCAGTGCCCGTGGGAGGGTTACTTTTGTTTGTGATATGCAAGGGGATTGCGCGTGTGTCCTGGTGGTGGGGTCGGGCGTGGGTTGCGATGGTTGGATTGCTAAGGAGAGAGGGCAGCTGCGCTTTGAGATAATTGTGTATATATGAAGGTCTTTTCTTTTTCTTTTTACCTGGAGGGTTCGTTTTCTTCCTGGTAGAGTGTGAAGGGTTCGGTGCAAACTACCCTGGTTGAATCCGAATCCTCGTCGCGTTGGGAGAGTCTGCGAATCGATTGTCGCGTCTTCCCCGCAAACTCCGAAGTGGTCCATGCACATGCACCTTTCATTGTATGGAGAAAGTACTATTCATCTGAACGGGTCACAACTCAATTCACATTCAAATCATGCAGAAAAATACGTCTTGTGATTAATTCCTCTCTTCCAAAAATCACAAACCCAGTCAATATCATCCTGCAGCCCGTTGTCCAAGCTGCCTACTGTTGTACTTAATGTCCCTCGACATACATGCCCCCAAAACACAAACAAACAACGCCGAAAGATTTTGGAGGCGGAAAAATGCTGGCTTGAAAAGTTGAAAAGAAAGATGCTCAAATGACAGAAAAGAACTTAGTACCCTTGAAACGCCAATGACACGAAAGAAACTCATTTTTCTATCATACGTCGAAAGCAAAACGAGCAGAGTCGACAAGAGTATCAGATACAAATGGCCTCCCTAAGAAGACCCCGTCTGGAGTGTGCAAATCACCGCTCGTCCTATCGATGCGAGTTGGTTTGCGAGTAATCAGAGTGTTCGCTGTAGTCGTGATGGTGGTCATGGTGGTCATCTCCATCATGATGGAGGGTGACACTGTTGAACTCCTCAAATGGATCTGCTACTTCGCCCATGGGTGTAGCAAGGCCAGAGTCTAGCGGCACACCCTTGGATTTCGCAGCACCAATGTCCACACTCTGGGACTCCTTGACGTTTCGGAAATTAGGCGTTTCTATGCCTTGGCCCTGGTGGGGAATAATAGGAGGTTTCATGTGACGCAGTAGCGCCCATTGCGTGGTCTTGAAGAATGGCGCACTCTTGATATCCGAGGCACCAGCACGTGAACCGAGACGGCGAGTCTCATCCTTGATGAGCAGCTTGCGAATGATGGCTTTGCAAAGACTAGCGAATATTAGCAAAGAACACAGAATACGGTCTGCAAACAAACTTACTTTGACACTTGCGGTGCACCAGAACCCTCTGGGAACGGTACCTCGTCTCGGAGAATGTTGGCAAAAGTTGCGTTACGGTTCTTGCCCTTGAAGGGTGTGGTTCCGTATAACATTTCGTAAATCAGAATTCCAAGGGTCCACCAATCGACCGCACTCGTATGTCCACAGCCCTTGATAACTTCTGGTGCAATGTATTCCTCGGTACCAACGAATGAATTGGTTCGGAAGTTGTTGATGCAAGATTTGGTGTCAATCGTTGGCAGATTGTTTGACGAAGTACCGCTTCGGCCGCTGAGAATCATGGTTGGGCGGCCGCCAGTGTCCGATTGTTTCGACAAGTCAAAATCTGACAACATGATATGGCCGGACTGATGGAGGAGGATATCTAGGGGAAATTAGTACCGTCTTCTTTGAAGGGAGGCAAAATAGATCCTACTTTCTGGCTTCAAGTCTCGGTAGATGAAGCCCATCAAGTGCAGGTACTCCAATGCAGCCGTAACCTCAGCAGCATAGAACCGCGCAGCGTCCTCATCAACGCACTTGTTTGGTCGTGTCTGCAGAGCGCGGAAGAACTCACCGCCACTGCAGTATTCCATGCAGAGGTAGAGGTGGTCTTCGGATTGGAAAGAGTGGTACAGAGTAACGATAAATGGGTGGTTGCTAGTCGCCAGAATTTCCTGCTCGGCCAACGCACGCTTGATCTTGTTTCGCTTGATCATCTCCTTCTTGCTCAGGACTAGAGATTGTTAGTATGGATTCCAGAAATGACAAAGGTGTACCATACCCTTCATAGCGTAGAGCCTGCTAGACTTCTTCTCCCGCACTAAGTACACCTTTCCAACATCACCTTTGCCAATCAGCTTGATCTTGTCGAAGCTGCCCGGGCCAACCTCAACGTTCCGAACCTTGATGGAATTTGAGCTGTAGGTCCTCCTGAAAGCCACAGAATTGCGAATCTGGCCCGGAGACGGTATAGGCTTGCTGGCGTCGCTGGGTAGAAGGTGGGTCGAGTCTTGCGAGTGCGTTTCAACCATACTCAGGGTAGATGAGTTCGGGTGGTGCAGAACGGGCTGCTTGCCGAGTTCAGCGGTCTGCGGTCTTTCATTAGACTTGCCAGATGAGAACAAGCCCTGAGCGTTGGGAGCAGATGCTACCCTCCGTAGTTTCCTTGCCAATTCCTCCTTTCCAGCCGTCGTGGCATGATCATCCTCGGGGCCGTCACCACCATTCACTTGTGTCTTGGGTATGTTTTGTGAATCTGTGGGAGATGGGGGCACGCTGCCATCGTTGTGATGGCGCAGGGCAGGGGGTCCTTGGTGGGCGAAATACGGATTGGCGTGGGCGGTAGGCGAGAGGCTGTCGTCGAGGGGATTGCCTTCACTGGCGACGGTCTGAGAGCGGTTGCGAGTGATGTGCGGGATGAATCGTGATTGGCGGAAGCCCGACTTCTCGTTCTTGGAGTTTGGGGCACCGCCCGTGGCGTCGTCGGAGAGCTTCTGGGCGTCATTGCTGCTATTGATGCGGAAGAAGTTCTTGATGCGCTGCGAGACCTGGCCGTCCTTTCCATTGACCGACTTGTTGGTGGACAGGGCCTTGCCCGAAAAGGTGCGTTTCTCGGTCATGGTGGAGTGGCTTGATGGAGAAGAGTTGAAGAGCTGCGTCATAGCCGTAGGAGAAGAGGAGAGATGGAAAACGCGCAGCGGGCGGCTGCTACGTCTAGCGGATGGCAGCTGGTGAGACGCAGAGGGGGACTCAGGGAGTAGTGTTCGGTTGCGCGTTTAACGGTCAGTGGGCCATGGCACGGCGGGAAAGGTGCAGGTGCCGGGGTCGCGGTGCGTGTGGCTGGAGCGTCGAAGGGGAGTTGGCAGCGGGGCGCAAGGGGCTGGCCCGGCAGGCAAGCAGCGAAGACAATTGACGACGTCGCGGGAGCAGCGGGCGAGGAGGAGAAGGGAGAGGTGGAGGTGGAGGTAGAGGTAGAGGTAGAGGTAGAGGTGGAAGCGGAGGGCAGGGCAGGGTACAGCAGGACAGGACAGGGCACAGCAGGGCAGGCAGGGCTACTTAGAGTATGGGCGGGTTGGCAAGCCAGAGCCGTGCCGGATAGACGCAGAGGCGAGGGCGGCGAATCATGGGCGGTCGTGCGAGGGCCAGTGGGGACTGTCGACTACTACCGCGCGGCCAGTGTATTTCCAAGCATTCCCCCAAATCGTCCGTTCAAGCGTGCAGCACCGCCATTTATCAGCAATGCTATCCGTGCAATTCCCTCGCGCACGTCATCGCATCCCCCCTGCCCTGGCCATCGCCCAAGCAAGACGTCTGACGTTGCCTCGCACATCCATGAACGCATCCGACCACTGTTTCTCTACCGCGTCCAGCGCCAATCCGTTCCAGACCCTCCCCTTTGGGCCTAGTCCATCGTCCGGCCCCGGCCCTCGACCGTATAGTATTACATCGGCGGTGCATGGCATATTAGTCCCATCTCCCTCCCTTGCGCCTCCCTTCACTTGAACACAGCCCCTTCCCCGTCATCCACCCATGGCCGTAATCAAGTCATTACATTACATTGTTCCGTTTGCCTGTGCGGCTGACTATACTGCCTACTTAACCATACAATCTCTGCCCTCCTATACAACCTAACTGCTCAACCTCGGAGCCACAAGAAGACGCGCCATTACTCTCCTTCCCACATGCCGTCTGCCATACACATACAGTCCTCCTTGTTGAATACCTTAGGAAAAAAAAGAAAAACTGCCAAGTAGCACTGCAATGCAAACCACACTACCTGGTTGTTGAATAGACATTATCCACCCCTGTAATCATCCCCCACTGACCAAGTCTTGCCAGACTCAGGCAACATGGCATCCAGCCTATCCAGTCACATTCGACAAAGAGCCCAAATTTGATGACCCTTCAAGTGCGCGACTCCCTACGGTACGCCTCAATCTCCTCCATCTCGGTTCTCTTGAGTTGCTGGAAGCGCTGGCGCCACTTCTCCGCACGCTTCGTCCTCTCCTCAGGCGACATGGTGCGAACGTCGTCTTTCTTGCCACGTCGGAACTTGTTCGTCACCTGCTCCAGCTTCGCCTTTGCCGGTGAATGCTCTCCGGCCTTCTTGGGCGATCTGGGAGTGTTGGTACGCGACCATGTCACAGTCTCGCGCTCCGTGTCAGTCGTCTTGGTTGGCGAAGATGCTGCCTTCTGCTTGCCTTTGCCGCTCGACGACTTGAAACAGGATGCATCGCTCTCCTCGTACTCCGTAGTGTTGGCTGTCTCGCCAGGTCGCTTCTCCCCCGCCCTGGACGTGCCACAGTCGTCAATTTGCGTATCGTTGATCATCTCCGCAAGCTCATCCATAGCCCCATCCAGTCCTGTTAACCCAACGTCAGTAAAAGCCTTACCAGAAGGCGCGCCATACCTACCAAGCTCTTGAGAGCCCTGTTCCTTGGCCGTACTGTGATAGCGTTGCATGGTCAATGGTGTGTCCAAGTTGCGATTCTGCACCTGGATACCCAAGAACTGCTGTGGCATTTCACCGTTCGACTGTGCAATACCTTTGTCCCGAATCTCCTTGTTCGCATCATTCTGAGTGTTTGGGGTCATGGCTTGCACATGTCCAGATGCCATCTTCAGTGGGAAAAGACTAGGGGGCTCGAGGTAACGCGCGCCTGAGACGATACGCTGCTGTGAAGCCTTCATCACTTCATTACCCATATTGTACGGGGCAAGTCCCTCCTGGACGTCTCCTTGGGAGCCAGGTCTGAAATCACGACGAGCACCGTCAATCAGACCGGGCTTTGACAACCGAATATTCTCTTGGCTACCACCAAAACTGTCGATGCCACGAGGAGAGTCGTGAGGTAAGGACCCAGCAACCAGTCCTCGGAGTGAAGGGGTACTGGAGTTGGCACTGCGCTGGTACTCGGCTTGACGCTTCTTGGTTTCGTCCGTGAGGAAATGCAGGAGACCCTGAATATAGCCTTGTAGCACATCCGGACTGTCCGGAATACCAAAGTGATCGTAGCCAGCCTGGTAGCCTTCTTGATATGTGCTTAGAACGTGCATGACGGGCCTGTCAGAGAGCTTCCAACTCTGGCCGGTGCTGCTGTTCTGGGCTGAGTTCATTCGCGAGACTGCGTTACTGCTCCGAGCAGTCCTGACTATGTTTGCGTCCATGCCTTGTATACGCTCGATTGGTGCCGACAAGGACTGGTTCGCAGTGCTCTGTCGCAGGGAGGGCAGTGAAGGCTGCTTGCCGAATGCTTCTGGCCACGAGGTAAGCTTGGGCGCGGGCTCATGCTTGCCAGTGCGACCTGAGTGCCCTTCGTTCCATGGGCTAGCAGGCCAATGTTCCTCTGGTGTCAATGGAGCAGTATGGATCTCAGTCGACTGGTTGGTGTCCTTGCTTGGCGGCGCTACCCGCGTAGAAGAGTGCTCGTGTGTATTGATGGGAAAAAAATCCATGGTATCAACGCTGGATACACTATGCTTTCGGGTCGGTGCTCTGCCATCGTGCTTGCTGGGCTCTGAAGCCTCCTGGACATGCCAAGGCGATGACTTCTCTGGTGAAGGCGTAGGCGGTACAGTTCCTTGCATGCCACCGGATTTGGCAGCTGGCTCATAGGTGGGGCTCTTCGGGTTAAGAGCTGAAGGCTTCTTGCCCTCCTCCGGAGGCGGAGGCTTGATCTCAATGGCACATGAGCGGCGGTTAGCTGATCCTGGAGGAGAGTGCGGTGCATGTGGATTGGCTGTGTTTGTTACAAACGCTGCTGGCTCCACTGTGGGGAAGCCGGGGAAGCCTCCATAGGGTTGCGGCTGCGATTGCGGCTGATACATTGTCATGGGCGCATACTGATTGCCAGTGGCGAAGGGATACATTGCAGGAGCAAATGGCTGTTGGTTCTGGACTCCAAACGAGGGGACGGGTGCTGTGGACGTGCCCACTGCGTTGGAGAATGAAACGGGCTGCGCTGTGACGGCACCCGATTCCAGTGCCGATATCTGCTTCCTGAGGGCATCAAGTTCGACAATTAGGCAGCGCTTCTTCTCAATCATACCCGCTCGCCATGCATTACTCTGGTGGCTCGACTGTAGCACTTCAGTCTGCTCGACAGTTCGGAGCTCTTGCTTCTTCAAGGTCTGTTGTGCCTTCAGCGTAGCAAGGTCCATGCTGGCAAACGGAGTCTGGGTACTAGAACGTGGCGGTTCAAAAGAAGCGCCTGGCATGGTACCATGTACAGCTGATGTAGATGGGTCAGGACCTCGCTTGATTGCTGGATCCATAGCGGCAGAGCCACTAGGAGGCAGTGTAGAGCTGGTCGTGCTGACTGCCGGGAGCGCAAACATGCGATCGCCGACAAATATGACAGGCTGACCACCAATCACCTCAATCCGTGCAGTCTTAGTGCCGTTCGACGGGGCTTGCATTGGCATGACGTTGCCTGGAGCGACTCGCAACGGTTGTTGCGGCCGGTACGCGGTGTCGCCGTATCGAGCTGTGCCAAGTGGTGGAAGGTCGCTAGGAACAATTCTGCCCCCTGCAGTCACTCGCAGACCGGGTGGACTGCCGTGCTCCTTGAGAAGTTTCTCGGCTTTTCCTCGCTTCAACGATGGTGTAGGCGATGGCCTCTTCTGAGATCCGAGCGGAGCGGGAGTTGTCGTAGTAGGGGGAACCTGTAGGCTTCTATTCGACAATCTGCTGTTTAGGTTTGCTGCTGCAGATGCCGATGGACGTAGAACGTGTTCTAAAGAGAAGTGTGTCAGTGTTTGTCTATATGTACAGCAAGTACAGAGATCAAGACAACGGCCGACTGTGGAAGTAGGTATGCGGCGGCGAGGTGGTGATGGTACATGTGTTCACGAACTTTAAGGGATATTGAATTTTGTAGTAGACGTGAAATCTTTGTGTGGGGAGGGTGAACAGTGAGAGGTGAAAGGTGAAAGGTGAAGAAGAGCATGGCCAGTACCGACCTCTGATTACATCCTCATCAGGAAATTTTTCGATCGACACGGCCGATTCCGAAACCGAATCACGCAGCGCAAGCAATTCATCCACTTTGTATGCGAGAGACATTATGGGTAATCCGTTACCCTAGATGGGTATCGCCGGCGAGGTGCCGCTGACCTGAGTGTGCCGTCGATATCGTTTGACCAGTGGAGACGATGAGCCAGACACGTGAAGGAGGTTGAGATGGTGTGATGCAAATATCCTTCCGTTGTCAGTATTGTATTCCAGGGTTGTGTGCTTGAATATGCTCCTGGACAGGTGTGCCATTGTAATAGCAGGTGGATTGACATACCTCAAAGCTGATCGATGTGGAGGCAAGGTGAACGAGCGAAGCAACGGCTAACCAAAAAGCCGGGATGCAGCAATGCGAAAGAAAACGGGACGGAACAAGAAGATGGAACCAAAAAGAACGTTTGTGTGTGTTGTGGTGAAGAAGAAAGTAAGCGATTGAGGAAGTTGTTATAGCTTGCATGCAATCGCGATTACCCATAGACAGGTCCATCAGTGTCTGCAGATGAGGAAAGAGACGAGAGACGGATCCGCCTAGGGAGCTTCGCAAGGGAGGGCTTGGTTTGTGAAGCAGTAGAGATGGCATGAGTGCAGCCGCCTTTTGCAATTGATGAGGAAAGGACGGTTGGCATGCAATGCACGTGAGAGAGAGCGCGGAAGTTGCGACTAAGACGCACAACATGCAGTGAGTGAGGGAACAGAGTGCACGTAGTCACTTTAATTCCGCAGCGCCCTATGGCTCTTTCGCATGGTTAAGCCCACTGAATCTGCCAGCTAGATGCAGTCTGCTTATCTTGAACACCTGAACGCCTTCGCTATGACATACGCTTCACACAACATACCACTTTTGTGCAACCATTTCCGAAAAGTGACGCGTCATTATTCGATTCCTTCATCTCTTTTACCATGCTACCTGGATTCCGAGCGCACCAGTCTATCTTCTGCGAGTAGCACGAGTGCTTGCAGGAGGCGCCGACTCAAAAGCGTCATCAGACTCAATCTCATCATCGCTCTGTAGCTCATTAGCATATTTGTATCATATCAGTTAGCCCAAGAATGCTTACAGCTTCTTGCACAGGCTGCTTTCCGCGCGATGCAGTGGGTCGTGTTGTCTGAGTGCGCTGTGTTGGTGTTTGGGAAAAGTTCAACTTGGTCTGCGTGGCCGGCGCCTTGGCTCGTGTAGCAGGTGTCTTCTTAACTGGCGACTTTGCTCGTGCTGGGGTTTTGGTAGCCTTCGCAGCGGGCTTTTTCGCAGGATCTTTCTTTTGTGACGCTACAAATAGGTCTTCTGCGCTGTCTTCTTCGTCATCGTCGTCGTCGAGCATGATAACATCATTGTCGTCCTCTTCTTCGTCCTCCTCTTCCTCGACTACTTTCTTCTTACCTCGACCACCTTTGGCAGCAGGTGCTGCTTTCTTTGCAGTTGTGGCTGCCTGACGAGTTGTACCGGTTGCTTTTGCGCGACCACGCGGGGCGGCCTTCTTCGTCGGCATAGAGGCAAGGCCCTCTTCATCTTCCTTCTCTTCCCCGTTATCAGAGCGTATAAGAGCACCTGGTTGATCTATCCAATGGCCTTCGAAATCACTGTCCCAACCATCTGGCTTTGGTTTAATTTTGGACTTACGGACCCTCTTCAGCTGTCCCGAGGCAAACAAATCCTCTAGTTGTTCGCGGTACTCGGTCATTTCCTTGACGATTTCTTCTTCCTCGACTTCGTTAGCATCCATCAAATGCTTCAACTGAGTTGTGAGACTTTCTTTGACAAAAGTCTCCATAGCGTGTTTGTCGTCTTTATCGACGAATTGTGATACAGCATCTCCGAATGAGTTTTGTGGCAGAATTGTCAATGTTTGCGCTGTGAGGAATTCCTTGACTAGCTTGTCGACCTTTATCGAGTCGATTGATAGTTCAGCCAGTACCTGTTCGTCTGGTTCGTCGATGTTGTTCTTCTTCAAGGTTATGGTTGTTGGTTTCTTCTTCCGATGAAATTGGACTACATCATTGACATTCGCTACCTTTTTCATAAAGCGATTTGAGATTCGCTGTGGATTCTCGCAATGGAATTCTCCAGGTGATGGTGCGGTATATTCAACGCGCAGTCGAACAAGCGGCAGCGGAACTTCGAGATCGTCGCCTTCTTCACGATCTGTCTGAAGTTCGAGCCAGTCTCGTTTCGCTTCCTCAATGAGGCCTTCGATGACTTGATTTAGATATTGTGTGATCTTTGCACGGTTGTCGCTGACACGCCAGAGTTCCTTCTGCTTGATTTCCCTTTCTTCTGCTAGAACAATCTCTTTCATGATGAAAGGCCGCACAGTTTTTAGACGGATGTTCTCAGTGGTAAATGCCTTGCCCATGACGCTCAGGATGCATACATGCTTGGGCACGGCTTCGCCCGGCATCAGAGATGTCGCAACTGACGAGCCTGGTTGCATGACATGAAAGCCCATTTCAGGATTGTACCGCGGATCTATCAAGCACTCATGCTCATGACCCCATACAACAAGATCCATGAATTCGGGAAGGAAGTTTTCGGGCAGATAGCTGGTTGGCGTATGCGCATGGTGGTTCTGATGAACGCTCATGAGATTAAACCATTCGTCTTTTTGCGTACCGGGCTGGAAGAACTTGACGTTGCCCTCTCGCCAAGTATGGAACAAGCGCTCATCTCGCACGTTGCTTAGACCGTACAAGGCAAGCTTGGTACGGCCTTTCTGGAGCAGTACTGGCTTGACGGCTATGTTATCCACTTCCGGCGTACGCCCAAAATAGTTCACAAATCCAGATGCTTGCAGTAGATCAAGTGGAGAGTAGGAACCCTCACCTGAAGGGTCATCGTGATTGCCATGAATGGCAAAAACTGGTATCGCAATATTGATGTCTTCGTCTTCATAGTTGACATGGTCGAACATGCCGCCGAAGTTCTCGCTCGCATCGCTCAGCATCTCCAGCTCGCATGGCTTTTCTCCAAGGCAGTTCATGCGCAGCGAACGCATTACCTGAAACATGGATTTCCGCGACGGTTTGTTCTCATGGAATAGGTCTCCAGCGTGTAGTACCATGTCCACATCGTGCTCCTTGGCCAGGCACATGACCTCGTGGAAAGTCCTCCAACTATCATCTTTTCGCACCGCATCGCGCTCGTTGTACCCAACATGACTATCTGTAGCGACGAGTATACGAATGGTGTCTGCACCTACAGACCGTGTTAGCACAGACATATTGCCGAGCCTGTTGCTGTAGCCTACCTCGCTGGACACCGCGTGCTCGTGGTGGCATTTTGTATAAGCGGCGTGGCTGGAAAGATGGATTCTTGGAACTTTCACTGACAGTGAAACATGCAGCAGGCCATAAACGAACGCTGCACAATTAGCACACGGTAGATTCTTCCAGCGAGAGCGACAGCAAACAGCAATAACTTGCACTTCGCGTCGCGCTCCAGCCAAGCCATTAGCTCCACAATCTCCCCCGCGCTCTCACGTGGGTTTCCAGAGTCCATCGGTCGGAAGCAATTGAAAACATTCGCCGACGACATCTTTCACGCTCACCATCGCCATGTTTCCCACGCGCGCGCTGTGCGCCCGATCGGTCTGGAAAGGTATTTACTCGTGTCGCCACTGAGTCTAGAAGTGGACAAATAGGCTAATCATCCGCCAGGACCCAATATCGTTCCGTAAGCCCCCCCCCGCATGAAACCCTTCCTAGGCCTTTCTGACTGTGTCCAAGCCTCCCAATCGTTCAGAAAAAAGCAGGTGAACGGGTCCCGCCGATCAAGACACAAGCCCGCTCGGCCACGATACTGCCGAATTTTGTCGGACTCAAGTTCCAAATACACAATGGCAAAAGCTACCTGGACATCACCATCACCGAGGATATGGTAGGACACAAGTTGGGAGAATTTGCGCCGTACGTGCCTCGAAATGAGCCGACGAAATTAGCATTGGCTAACGATTCAACTCTAGGACACGGAAGCAGTTCATGTACAAGCAGACCAAGAACAAATGAAGAACGGGTCGCACGTGCATCTTATGGGAGTTTGGGTATCATTTTGGTGGGTGCAGAAGCCACTATGTACTGGTATTGTACAATTGCAATGAGCCCTTTGTTGGGCAAAATATTCTGATCAGAAACCCCTGCGCCTGCGATGCCAATTCAACGCCGAGAATGCCTGTTGTGATAGCAAATGATTGCGTCCGTCATTACCCATCTTTCGCATATGCCAATCGAAAGCGGACACCGGGTGGGGCGTCGAGAGATTGCATAGACATGTGTCTAGCGGTAGAACTCGCCACGCTTAATGTTGACGCCGTACTCGCCAACTGCCATGCCCAGGTCCTCCATGGTGAGTACAGTGCGTCCCTGACTGCCGCCCTGGCCACCTCCGCCATAACCTGGCCGCTGGATACCGAGGTTATAGTCCTTAGCCTTAGCACCGCTGTCCTTCCCGCCTGGCACTCCTCCTGGCGCAGCTGCTCCTGGCGGTCCTCCAGCGCCGCCCATAGGGTTGTTGCTTGTTGTGTTTGAGGAACGAATCCGCGAAAACTGGTAAGCGTCGGCTGCAATGTCGGCGATGAACTTCTGGGTCGCGAGCGCTAAGAGGCGCGCAAGATGCTGTGATGTCTGAGGTGGTGGTGGCAGACCGGCGCGGGTGAGGTAGTAGTTGGTCACTGCGTCAGGGATCTAGCAGCCTTATCAGTGCCCTGGTATATTACTTGGAGGCTGGGTGAACATACGATGGGCGCGTACTCGTCCATCTTGCCCAGGAACTCGCGCAATGTTGCATCCTTCTTGGCAGGTATCCGCGCTTCAAAGCTGGTGACTGGGTCTGCTGCGCCGTTCATTGCGGAAGGCTCTGTATCGTTTGCGCCGTCGAGATTCATGGCGTCGGCCTCGAGTTGTGTCGCGTCTTGCTTGATCTCCTCATCGACGGTACGGTCCAGCTCATCATTCACCTCCATGTTAGTATCGAGGGGCTGAGAGTTGTTTTCGGACATGATGATAGGATAAGTCTTATGTATTGCGACAAGGTGGATAGTATGACGTGTGGGGTTGAGTCGGGTTGCGGAGACGACACGGAGGTGAGAGAACGGCACGCCAAGCAATCAGGGAGCGGGAGGCGCGGCGCAGCCAACCAGAGCAGTCGCAGCATGACCATTCCACGACGCGTCTTGAATCCGATTATTCACAAATCCAAAGCACAAGGCTCTGATCTTTGGATGGCGCCAGTCGAACTCTTTCTTGCACTGTGCGAGGTTGATGCGATCGCTTCGACTACCTAGGCTGCAAAGGCGCTCTAGAATGAGGCTGGCGGCTGGCAAGATGAAGAAGGTCCAGCCTGATGCCACCTGACCGTCGTTACCCAGACATAGTGAATTTTCAGTGGCAGCCATATGGAGTCCCTAAAACAAGCAGTCGCCAGTCGGTTGCCTGGAGCTGTAGCAGGGCTACAGTCCATCCCACAGCATTCTACACTACTCTTACAACTAACGCTGTGCATTTCTACCTCGTCTTACACTAGGCAGTACATTCGTTAAACACAGACATCTTAAGTACGTCCCGTTCTACAAACATCCAAATAGCAAAGCGGGACGTTTGCTGAAAGATGCAGCCTATAAACGGCACAATCTCGTGCTCTTTGGCAACACTATCGCATACTCACCGGTGCTCCCAATGGCCCAACTCACAGACCTACCCAGTGAAGTGTTGGAACTCATATACCGCGCTCTTGGAAGTATTGACGACGTCCACCACTTGATTCGAACATGCAGGACAACAGCACGTGTCACGTGTCAGCGAAACGTCTATCTTGACATTATGCGTTCTGTCATTCATCATTCTCCTCAGCACAGACGTGACTACCAGTTGAACAAGATACTAGCCGTCCATGCGAGATTCGTTGCTTTTCTTTCGGGAAAAATGACTGGGGTTCGAGCCACCAAACATCCATCATCAGGTTTGAATGACCTCGAGGTGCACCTTTTAAGACTTCTTTGTCTGAATCCTCACAAAGCTGATTGGTCGGATATGGAGATATGCGATGTCCTGGCTCGCTATCAAGGTCTGCGTGTATTAGAGGACATTTGGCTGAGCAGGCAACTTGAAGAACAGGATTACCTTTCCGCAGGCGATGCCAGCGACCACCAGGAGTTCTCTGATAGGTTTATTACCCTTGTCACTCGTGCCGATGAGTTTGCAGAGGGACAAATACAAAGACGGCACCCAAAAGATAAGCATACTCATTCCTATAAGAACATGCACCCCGACCAAAGAGCTCGATTCTATGCTGCTGTTGTTCGCATCTGGTTTATGAACGAGGTTCGATGGATGCTGACCAACTTCGACTGCACCAAACTACTCTTGGGTCCCTGCCAAAGGATGATTAAGCTCTACGTGCAGGATGGGTTTCTGACCGAAAGACTGGACGAATGCGCCATTTTTGCTTTCATGTATCATCATCTGCTCCCGAGAAACATCAAGTTCTTGGCGGATAGGGACTCATCAAAGTTACCCTTTACATTCGAATCGGATTTCCGCAAGGACAATGTCCAGTGTTGCAGGTAAGCATCAGGTATTCTCCTTTGACATTTTTTTTACACTTTGCATGCTGTCTTCTGCAGCCGCTTAGAAGCAGCGCGTGTTGAGGCGGTACTCTCGACATGGAAAAGTTGAGGACCAAGATCAAGCTGAGGAGTTGTTGATGAGTTTCTGGCTGACGTTGCGTTCAAAGATTACTTCAGGCATGCCTGACGGCAGCGCAAGCCCACTTCCAACCGCCTGATTTGATTGATCTCGTCATTCGCTCGAGTCTCAGCCGCCGGCCACCTTACCCAGAAATGACGATGCCGGAGTTAAGTGAAGCATGGAGGCACCCGCAATCCACGGACTCTCCGCCCAACATGGACCTCTTTCACAAAGACATGGCCCCGATGGCACTGCGAGTTTGCATTCGTCACCTCCAGAGGATTGGGCGGTCTTCAATTCACGAGGATGTTAACCATTTAGGTCGCGTACAGAATATGGCGCAGTTCTGGTATAACCCGCTTGTACCGAGGCTTCTAGATATTCCTGACTGGGCGATGACATACCTTGTTCACGGAGTGATTTGTGAGTTTGAAAAGGACAAGTCATGCCAGGAAGGCTTGGTGGACATGAAGAGTGTATTCGAGAAGAAATGGAAGGAGGTTCAGTGGGAGGTATGGTGGTGGGCGAACAACGATGATAAGGCAAGAATGAAGATGGAGAGGTGGCGGCAGGTGCAAGCTAGCATTGACCCAGCGACAACGGGTAGGCATTGACGTAGCTTAGCACAATGCGCGGTCGATAAGTGAGATGTTGTAGGCCAATTTTTGCACAGCATATATGCGTAGCGATGGTTTGGCTGCGCATGATTCAAGACGTATGAACATGTGTGTAGATGCATGGCTCGATGTTTTGAATAGTCGGATGGCTCAGTGCATTGGAGCTGGTCACGTGACTGACGGTGCGTAGTTGATACTCAGGCACACACTCATGTTCGGCACTATGCAAGTTCCGAGGCTAGTCGAGCGGGCCGGAGCAAGGCACCGCGGATAAAGAAAAACAACAAAGGGTGGTCGGAGGTGAGCGTGGGGAAAACGCAGCGGATGCTGGCTGAGGCCATTGTTGCTTTTCGGTCGCAGCTCCGGCCGGGAGTCTTCAGCCTATCTATCGGACGTACGGTACTATGTACGTATACTGCTAGATTTATATTTCAAGGCGCACTCGGCAAGGGGCTGAAAATAGATTCAGGGCAAGATGCCTTATTGGAGAGCCTTAGTGCCAGTACTGTAAAGCACCTGGTGTGGCTAAGACCGGCGGGTTTAACGGAGAGGATTTGTAGAGCCTAGTTAGTTGCAAAGGCTATGCATGGCGGAGCCAGCTGGTGTTCGCAGTGTTGTTGGGTGAGGCGGTTATGCCGACAGGCACGTGCCGTTGCAAGGACTCTGTTTGGGGGGGTATTGCAGCCCTCCAAAAGGCAATGAGGTGAGATGAGCACTATCAGGTCACCAGAGCCGGTGCAGCGCGTGCCAGGAGATGAAACGGCGGTACTCTAGCAGGGTGGGTGTGTAAGTATGATAGACAGTAGGTAGTATGGTGGTTGCGTACCAGTGGCGGCGAAGCATCAGGGATGCAAGCAGCATCTGATGGCATAAAAGAAACAGCAGTGTGTCTATCCGCCATGTATCCCAGACAAGTAATACGACGGCAGTGCGCTCGGCAATACTGCAAAGGCTTATTAGTACAGACGCAAATGGCCGCAATCCCGTTTTTCCGTACGGGGCCAGGATGGACGGATGGCGGGCGCTCGTGCTGCCGCTAATTATGGGTGCACACGAAGAGGCCGAGATGCAAAGCCAATTGGGCCCCGTGTGGCAGCAGGCAATGCCAGAATTACTGATGGGGCATGTGCGTGCGCCAGGAGCACACACAGCAAGTCATACTGCATAGCAGACGGCGCGGACAGGCGGCCAGCGGGCGAGGGTGCGCGGCGCATACATGCTGTGCAGGCAGACAAGGTGTTTTCCCATGTTCACGCCCTGGCCTGGCTCCAAGGCGGGCGAGGGAGGGGTCGAGATGCTCGCGAGACGTCATTGGCGTGCAGAGAGCGCGTCAAACAAACTGCTGTGGCCGAAATTGCCAGGTAGCACGGCACTGCAGCGCAGCGCTCCGTAATGAGGGTGCAGGCTGATGGCAGGACGGGCGGCCGCTGACTACGAGGCCATCGACTGGCATGCGGATTAAGAGGCCCAGAGCAAGGGAGGGCGAATGCGCCGACAGGCAGGGCGTGAGCATGAGCGTGAGCGTGGGCTGGCGGTCGGCTTCTTTTTTAGAGCACCAACTTGACTAGAGAAAAATTCGCGCTTCAAAGTGACCCTCTTCCTCCCACCTGCGCTTGCTCCGCCCGCACACACGACAGTCAATTTTGTCTCCCGGCGCCCGGTCTGCCTTGACAACGTCGCATACGACCCTCAGACGCCGCCTCAGCCCGCTCCCTCGCCGTCGCCCTCCAGCCAGTCTTGCCTGTGCCATCCGGCCCTCTCGTGTGGTGCCTGGCGTCCCTGCCTACTACCCACCACCTACTTCGGCTGCCTCTCCCCACCCTCATTCTCTGCTTCTACTTCTACCTCCGCCGCCCACGCTCCCGAGACGTCTGCCTCCCTCTCCATCTGCCCCTCATTCTTCACGTCCGCGCCCCGCCCCGGACTCGCACACACAGTCGTCTCACACTTTGCCAAAGGTTAGTTTTGCGCATGTCACTATCACCTCCGCCGCATGCTTGCTACCTTCCTCTTCCGCGACCGGACTCCGTTTGCCAACCCCGCCCACTGTTTTTTCTTCTGCTGTTTTCCTCCGTCAGGTGCTCTGGCCTCTGACCAGCCGCTGCTCGTGTGCTGCTTGTACCCTCTCTCCCTCCCCAGCCACTCGCGGTTCACACAGTCATCCCTCCGACCTGCCGTGCGCTTGCACGCCTACCACCACACCACACAGCGCACTGCTGCCCAAGGCGCTGCCCACTAACACCTCGTATCCCGCAATCCATCACTGTCACTACACGACTCGATCACTGAAAAAAAAATCCGCTAACGCCAGTTACCACAGCGCGCACAACAACCGCCCAAGGCCTCAAGTCGTGCCCAGAAGCATTCACTTTCCCCGCTGCGTGTGTGATCGCCTCGGCTACGAGCCAACGCCCACGGCCTCATATAGTCTTCTGCCGTTGCAGGATTACTACTCGCCACCTTTGATCCATCGCCAACCCCAATCTTGGTAGTAGCGAAAAAAGGTTGCGTGCGGGGAGGTCAAGACATACCTCTCCGGACATACCAGCACCCACACCTGCTGATCACCTCGCTGCAGCGCTCCCACCAGGGATTCTGAGCGCTCTCCTCGCCTTACCAGTCCGACTTTAGCCGAGACACAAACAGAAAATTCGCAATGGCATCGACATTTTCATATGCGCAAGCCGCAAAAGGCATTTCCACGCCTACCAGCACGAGCAAGCCAGCATCCGGCTCCGCTACTCCAGCCAAGGACGCAACCAGCGTCTCTGGTCCAGACGCTAACGCCTCGCCAGCCAACTGGGCTGAAGACGTCGAGGCAGAGTCGCATTCCGAGCAGCCCTCGGTAGCCCGCGAGGCGCGCACAGAGCAGCCTGCTTCTGTTGCACCAAAACCTTCACAGCCTGCAGATGCCTCGAACGTATCTTCACCAGACCTCGGCGCCTCGTCTTCGTCCACTGTGACCAAGGACGACGACGTTTCTTCAGTACCGAACACGGCTTCTGAGTCAACCACTTGGGACAACAAGTCTCAAGCCTCTACCTCGGTCGACAAGTCGGTCGAGCCAGTTGAAAAGACATCAGAGAAGGTCAAGAAGGGCAAGAATGCAGTTGCCAAGGCCCTTCATGAGGCACCCGTCCCGACCGTCAACCCATGGAAGATTCGAGCTGATGAGATGAAGTCAAAGGTGCAAAAAGCTGCTCCTTCACCTGTTCTGAATGGTGCTTCGCAAGGGCCAAATGGAGTTGCTGCGAAGAAAGACTCAGCACCCCATGACAAGGCCGTCAACGGCGAGAGCAGAAACAAGAGCCGGAACGAAGGTGTTACAGGTCGAAAAGACTTCAAGGGCGATGCTGAGACCCGAAACGGTGCCAAGGGCAGGTTCTCTGAAAAGGACACAAAGTCGACGTCGAGTGTGCTCCCCCCACCGCCGCACCGTGATCAGGAGTCATGGCCAACACCAGATACCGCTATTGATGAGGAGCGTAAGAAGGCTCAAGAGAAGGGCGACAAGCCAGAGAAGGAACGCAAGGATGGTGCTCCTACTAGCAAGCAGGAATGGGTGAAAATCCCATACACTCCCTCTGTTGTGTTCAACACACCTTTGCCTAACGCTGCGAATGCGAGAAGAGGTGGTAGGCCTGGAGGACGCGGTGCAGCGCAGACTGGTGGCAGACCTGCTGGCTTGAGCAATGGCGCTGAGCCGCTTGACAAGGACGGCTCGGCACCCAATGGCGAACAAACCAAGGCTGCTGCACAAGACGCTGTCAAGACCAAGCGCACTGGTAATGCGGCATCCCCGACTTTGAAGAACCAGCTTCCAACGGCCAATGGAGACGGCGCTGTAAAGGCGCATGGTAACGGAACCACAGAGTCTGAAGCAATCGCAAAGGGCTCAACGCCGTCGTCCCAAGCACCGCACCAAAATGGCGCCTATCCCCGCCAGTATCCCAACAAGCCCCACAAGGGCAGGCGAGGCGATTTCCACGGCGCTGGGGAGCGCAGAAAGGATGGTACGTCATCGCCCACTAAGGATGGCGTCTGGAATCCTGCTGGAACGCAGGCAGATGCCTCTGCAGATGGTGAACGTCGTGCGCCCGCTCAACAAGACGGCCCACACGGCCATTCGAAGCGTTTTAGTTCATTCTCCAGCGGACGTGAACGTGGCCGTGGAGGAGGCCGCGGTGCTCGTGCCGGCTATGCAAACGGTCACCACTTTGCCAACGGACATTCTTCGACGAGCTTTCCCTTGGGTCCAAGATCACCTACGACTTTTGTGCCTGAGAGCAACAGCTTCTTCCCAGCCTCCCAGGGCAAGTACGGTCGCAACAGCCACCGATCGCAGTCACTCTCTACTGATCCCTACCGCTTCTCGTCTTACCAGAACGGATATCCGGTCGCTCCCCTGCAGACATCCCATGACATGTATTCCTATGGCATGGTCCAGCCGATGAGCGCTGCTTCACCATTTAGTCCATATGGGTTTGACCAGTCCTATCTCTTCTCATTGCTCACTACCCAAGTGTAAGTCTTCTTTGATCATCCTGTTCAACTTTTGCTAACAAGATACAAGGGAGTATTACTTTTCTGTTGATAACCTGCTCAAAGACATGTATCTACGCCGCCACATGGACTCCCAGGGATTTGTTTCGCTCGAGTTCATTGCTGGTTTCAACCGTATCAAGCACCTGTCACCCGATCTTGATCTGATCAAGCTCGTCTGCCAGCAGTCCAAATCCATCGAATACCGCACTGGTGAGGATGGTCAGGACCGCCTACGTCGTAAGGACGGCTGGGCACAGTGGGTGCTTGACATGGCGGAGCGTGACGCATCGGCACAGAATGAGGGCCCTAAGGAGCTCAAGCAGCCCCAAATCACACATCCCGCAGGCTTTGACCCCTCGAGCATTTCCCAGTGGCAAACAATGTCCCCTGGATTTCCCATGGCTCCTTATGGAGGCGATGGTGTGTACCCTCAGATGGATGGATTTCTTCCCGTCGCTCAAGATGCTGGACTAGCACCGGCAGAGACTGTAGTGAACGGTATGCCTATGGAAGAGGTGAATGGCACGGCCGTTTCGACCGGTCACCCAGTCGAGAGCTCGACAAAGGCTGTGAGTGTAGAACCCGATTTATTTTTTGACTGGCAACTTGGCGGCTTGACTGTCATTGTTCGCAAGCATGTTCAGAAGCAACAAGCATCGCCTGTTTTATTTCCACGAACATTTTCTAATGGATCCATCGATAGTAAATATGGCGCGCCGGGCGAACTGAATAAGTCGATCGCATGTCAACTCAAAGCCGACGACGCTAGCTCTCTCAACGGGTAAGTCGGCGCCTCAACAGTTCCCGCGGCACAGATGTTAGCGGTTCCCACATCCTCTACATCTACCCGATCCACTCAAACGCCGCAAAGCATCAAGCTCGGCATCCTGCCCTTGACGTTACCATTTGCTATGAAATTGTACTTGAGGTTAAAGCTAATGTTCAGAGTAGTAGTGTCGAGCAGTGCTCACTACAATCGACTTCTCCTTCAGTTCGGCTTTACTGGGTCAAGGACCAAGACCACCCAGTCCATTCCATTCCTTCTGGTTCCTCGCATGAGTCGTATTATCATCTTCGGTCAAAGGCTCTCCGCAAGCGCTCACGAGCCTCTTTTGGCATCACTCCTTACGATATGAACGTTCTTTATCAATTCTGGTCACATTTCCTGATTCGGAATTTCAATCAATCAATGTACGATGAATTTCGCCATCTGGCTTTTGAAGATGCCGCCTGCAGGGGTACGGATGTCGGAATCTCGAACTTGATCAAGTTTTACGGCAAGTCTTTATTGTCGCCTTACGAAGCAATCCGGTGGCGAGTAGCTTCTGACTACGTCGACCTGATCAAGCCCGAGAACGGATGTCGTACTTTCGACCAATTACAATTGGCTGTCCGCAATGGTGGCATCAATCCGGAGAGTTGGAAGCGCATCAGAGTCTTACTTGATGCTGAGGCATTGGCTCGATTGGCATCATGATTGTCTGATTGTATCTGATGACCTCTACTGGGTCATGCAGGACGAGCAAGGAATGGTGGTTCTCCACGCTTGCTCTTCAAGCTGTGGTCTCGTTGCTTCCAACTGTCCTTGCGAATTCTCGGGTTCTTTTATACATTAACAAAAAGTTCATGTTCTGGCGTTTTCACACGGTCGGCGGTCCGTCACATGTTTTCCGATAGACCCCTTTTGCACACAGTTTTTTGGCTTCCCTTAATGTTCACGATTATTTCCCAGCACGATACGAAATACCCTTCAACGGATCTGGTTCACCCTCTTCTCCTGGATCTACGGGCTTTGTACGGAGGCTCTATAGCATTGAAAGCTGGCGTACTGTGTGGTTGTTTTTCTTGCATTTTATCAGCCCCGCATACAAACCCCAGAAGGCGTATTTCTCCCCTCCGATATCGCGGCACCGATTTCTTTCATTTCCTTATGCGCGCATGTGGGTTCCCAAGCTCCATCATGCCCTAGAGCAAAGTTTGTAAAAGGTGGTTGGCGAGGCCCGGATGAGTAGGCTTCTGCTTTGTAAAAGTACGAAATGGAAGGTTTTAGCCCAATTATCGTCTCACGTGTGCAGAAAAATAAGAAGTCCAGGTGCCTCGGGCACATCTAATATACCGCAGGTGAGGTGTACGCATGCAATGGCTGTTGCCTGTTGCTGGTTGCTCGGGCCCTTGAAATACCCGATCGTAAAGCTGCATCAAGTTCGCATGACTCAGTCAAGATGCCTGGATATGAGGCCGAAATGTGTTGTAGGTGTTGTTTCCTGGTATAGAAGAGGAGCTGTTGAAGAATGGCTTTCACAGCGGCTGGATGCTGTCTTCGCAAGGCCTCTACACCTAAGAATATTAGGTTGTTTATATATGTATGTATTTGGGAAGAAGACAAGCCGGCGAGTGAGGTGGCATGTGACCATCGTCATGGCGGCTCGGCGTTTCAGACGATCAGCCCCGATGACGGTGGCGACGTTTGCCCTGCGCCTCATTAACGTTGTCTTCCCCACACTTCAGGGACTCACCACCCTCTCCCCTCTTGGTAACACAAACACACGATGGCACCGGCCGCGGTGCATCTGCATAGACTGGTGGTCAAGAACGCGAAAGCGTTCAAGTAAGTTTCCTCTCATCTTACAAGGCAACCACATACTGACAGATACAAGGGCCGCCTGGAAACATGCAGCGAAACTCGTTCAGAAACAGTTGCCTGAATCCGCACGACCTGCGGATGCAGTTCTTCAACCTATACTCGCTCGAAACGCTCCAAAGCATCCTCTTCACCGTATTGCCTACCTCAAGCAGAGCAAGGGCCGATGGTACACTACCCATAGCCTTATTGGCGCTGCCGTTAGACGGTTCACTACTTCGGCTGCGCGCAATTCGGGAGTGAAGTATGACAAGGCTTCGTTCCCGAAGTCCCGTATCGGGAGTATCGTCATGGCACAGGCTGGCCGTGCGCCCTTTGCGTCTACCCTTCGCCCTAACCTCACGGGTGGTGCCTTGGGACGAACCGCGGGTGGTTATGGATGGGGCTCCGGCAGGACCGGAGGCGCCCGATACTTCTCGCATGGTCCTGCTGCGCCTGCTCAGGTCATCAACAATGTCTCTCAAGCTGTGCGTGCCTTCCTTGTCGGTGGACAAAAGGCCCAGTTCGACGGCGTAAATCCCCACAACGGCGAAAAGCGCTTCAAGACGGTCTCGGCACTCCAAGATCAAGTCAACCGTACTTTGAACAAGGTCCCCAAGTCTAGCCCTGGCTCTTACATTAGCTTCAACATCAGCCCTACTGTCACTGCTCTTACTCCTCTCAAGGCTGTCAAGGGCTTTGCCACCTTCACTCAGGAGAAGGAGACCCTTAACACCGAGGGTCTTTTGGACACACTTTCTGTCGACTTCTCACGTGCGGTCAAGGAACTGGCTGCAGTCCTGAAAGACTTGCAACGATTGGCTGCACTGGGAGATTTACCTATAACGTACGAAGACTCAGCACTAAAGGTTCATTTCCCCGGCTGTGACGCGCAAACGGTAGAGACGATATGCAATGACTTTGGGGTCTCCCGGGGCGTAGTCCACGAAGACGAAAGCTTCAACACGTCTGTAGGATCTGACATGGCGTTACTCTTCCCATTTGCGCCAAGCCAGACTCCTTCCGAATGCTCCTTCTACCAGAAGCCTGTTGCCGACCGCCAGCACATACAAGCCAACATCGACTGGGCCAATATGCTTTCACCCTCTGTGACAGATTCAGAAGGCTTTGCGACACCATCGGAACATAGCTACGACCAGCTGGATGACTTCATGACTGAGCCCAATCCATGGCTTTCAGTCTCATCGCCTTCCGGGTACGAGAGCTTGCACACGAGCGAAGCCGAGGAGATGGACTTGGAGGCAAGCATGGAGTTTCCGGAAAGGTACACGCCTCTTTGCGAGGTGAGATAGATGACTGTTGAAGAGAAAAGCGGTGAATGGCTGATGATACCTACTACATACTCTTTTTGGCTTAGACTGCTAACATGGGCGTTTGAACCCACCTTGGTTGCTTTTCCTTTGTACCTGACGAAATTTTAAATACCTACAATCAATACAAAAAAAATTCTGTCGAGTTCAATGCCTGAAGCCATGTTCTATGTACTACTGTCACAACTTCCACAAATATGCATATATGAGCTCGATGGCAGAAAATTCGCTAGCCAGAACAAAGACCGTCATAGGACGGAAGAGGGACATGCAAACGAACGGATGTCAGACCCGGATATGCAGTGCCAGCAAAAAGGTTCGGGGGAGGGGGTATTATTATTCCCGGGTAATAACGTAACCGAAACGGCCGGTGCTTCTCCACTTTTTTACTGTATACAGATAGGTTTATAGGCAAAATGATGTTTGAAGGAAGCTTGTTGCTTCCTTGGCTCTATGACTCGGATTGCCCTTTCTTTCCCTGTAACAGTCACGAGTAAAAAAAAGAAGAGCTACTTCCTTCTTTCTCTTCTTACTTCTTTCCTAGTTTTCTTCTAGACAAATTGGACGAGCGCTGACCTCGAATAAATCGACGAGATTTTCTTTCCGGCGGGGAGGAAAGGAGCGGCGAATCTTCGTTTTTTCTCTTCTTGCAAGGGTTCGATTTTGACTTGTTATTTCCGGAGCCGAGGTAGGGTGTATGGGAATAAAACTGGGGGGTGAAGGGACGACGACGGTAGGGTAACGAAGAAAAGAGAGAAAAGAAAGAGAGTAAGAAGGAATTGGAAAGGAAAAAGAGGGGAGGGAAAAGAAATGGCGGAAAAGAGACGGAGTAATGATGATGGTGGCGGGGAATTGGGAGAGGAAATAGGTAGTAGTAGTCCAAACGGTGATATCACCACGACACACAACGGGATGCTGGAAGAGCCAGAAGAAGCCACGAGCACAAGACTGTGCGAACAAAAGACAAGAGAAGACGAACCTCCCAACGGCGGCTACGGCTGGATCTGCGTCGCAGCCATTGCAACGCTCAACGGGCACACGTGGGGCCTCAATTCATCGTACGGCGTCTTCCTCGCCCACTACCTCTCGCACAACATCTTCCCCGGCGCAACTCGGCTGCAATACGCATTCGTCGGCGGCCTCTCGATTTCACAGGCTCTCATCGTGTCGCCAGTTGCTACACTGACTACGAGGTGCTTTGGTACGCGGACGACTCTCTTCATCGGTGTGGCGCTGGAAACGGTGTCGTTCATTGGTGCGAGCTTTGCGTCGCGCATCTGGCATCTGTTTCTCACACAAGGGATTTGCTTTGGGTGGGGCATTGGCTTCTTGTTCGTGGGGTCGGTGGGTATCACGCCGCAGTGGTTTAGCACACGCAGGTCGCTTGCGAATGGGTGTTCGGCGGCAGGATCGGGCTTGGGAGGTTTGGTGTATTCGCTTGCTGCCCAGGCCATGATTCGGAGTATAGGCTTGCCTTGGGCATTTCGCACCCTGGGACTGGTCTCGTTCGTGGTGAATACCGTTTGCGCCTTGCTGATTCGAGATCGGAATCAGCAGGTGGGTAGTCGGCAGATTGGGTTTGACTATCGGCTTTTCCGCAAAGTGCAGTTTGTGGGGTTGTTGGCGTTTGGGTTTTTGTCGATGCTGGGGTATGTGGTGTTGTTGTTTTCGCTGCCGAATTATGCGCGGACGGTGGGGTTGAGTGCGCAGCAAGGAAGTGTTATTGGGGCTATTTTCAACTTGGGGCAGGCGATTGGGAGACCGCCTATTGGGTACTTTTCAGATTCCATTGGGAGGTTGAACATGGCGAGTAGTATGACGTTCTTGAGTGGGCTGTTTTGTCTGGTCATATGGATGTTTGCGAAGAGCTTTGGCGTACTCGTCTTTTACAGTCTGGTCGGTGGAATGGTAGCGGGGACATATTGGGCTGTGGCTGGCCCGATCACGACGGAAGTTATGGGATTGAAGGATCTGCCGAGTGCGTTGAGTATCACTTGGTTGGTATTGGTCTTGCCTACTACTTGTAAGTCTGCCCCTTTCTTCCCAAGGGAAATTGGACTAATGATCATTGCTAGTCTCTGAAGCCATTGGCCTGGAAGTTGTAACGTTCAATGGTGGTTCTTATACCGGTGCCATTATGTTCACAGGATGGATGTATATTGGCGCGGCTGTCTTCTTGTGGCTGGTGCGAGCATGGAAGATTGGCCAAGATGAAGTGCTGGCGGCTGGGACTGAGAAGAACGATGATGGCTCTGCGGCTGGCGTCGGGACCACGGAAAGAAGAAGCCCTTTTATGACGAGGGTGTTCATGATTAGGAAAGCCTAATTAGTCTGGGTTGCAGAACCCAGCAGGCGTGCATGTATGTATTTCCATAGTTGCCCCGGCGTGGTAAGGCTTATTTTTTTTTCTTTCATGCGACTTGGACGTTCACATTGTACAGATGGTGAGCTGGGAGGGAACAGGAGCCTGCACTTGATACACGGAAGCTTGCAAAAAAGTGCTTTTGTGTCTGAGCATGTTCCAGAGGAGGTTGAGGGTTTAGGTGCCAAGGCATTCAGCGCCCAAACGATACTTTGGTTGCAAAAAAAAGCAAGCGGTACTACTTTGGAACGCGAGGCTTTGGTAGCACCGTCAGCGGCCCAGGTATCCTTGCATGGCAGCACTAGCTCCCGTCGCCGTCTTACCACTAGCCGGGTCCCCTATTTGAACACCCATTAAAGGATGCTGGTGGCGGCTGAAGAAGAGCCTGGGATAGTCGCTGGAACCAAGGGCAAGACGGTGTATCTGGTGGTGCCGATGGCGAAAAAAACGAAGCGACCGGAGGGGTCGAGGTTGAGGTTGGAGCCCATTGCCCACTGCCCAGTCGTTCGCTCGCTGACGCACATCAGCCATGTCATTCGGACACGTGATTGGCCGCAATAGTGCAAAGTCCCATAGTCCCCTGCGGCTGGGACACGTCTAATTGTCCTAGTGGCCACGGGATGACCTCAAGACGCGTCGTGACTTTTTTGTTGCTGGGTTGTGGGCCGGGACGGGACGGGCTCTATCCAAGCTGCGTATGTTTGTGTTTGGACGTGTATTGCCATGTACAAGTAGTAAGTCGCAAGTACACCTCTGCATGCAGCCAGGCCGAGTTGGCGACGCCTCGAGCAGCGCGCATTTGTGCTAATTACCGGGCGCAATATAAGTATAGAATGGCACGGACGAGGCTTTGCAGGCGTCGGGGCGCGTTCATCACATGTGGGTTGGGCTGGGGGGACCGCCCATTGGCCCCTGATGCGACCTGTGCCAACTGGCACTTCGCCCGCTAACTCGAGCCTGGCCTTAGTCTCGTCGCTCTCCTGTTCTCGTCTGTCCGTGTCCGCACTTTCGTCGACGACGAACTTTGGCACGCCTTCGACTGCCATTCTTCTTCTTCTTCTCTTCTTCATCCGTCGTCTGCCTGCTGCCACGGGATGTTCTCTTCTCCTGTAGTCTCCAGACCCGCTCTTGCCCACCTCATGTCATTCTTTTAGCTTCCTTGCTCCGTCTCCCTTTCCTTGTTCAATATACCTAATCATACTGCCTCCACTCCACCTTCGCCCCTCCTGCGCTCGAGACTCTCTCCGGTACGCGTTCCCTCGCCCCGGGCAATCGACCACCGCCCCATACAGCACTTGGGTCTATTGTTTCAACGCGTTTGGCTTCGGGGAGAAAAGACGAAGAAAAAATAAAACCACAAAAACAGCAGCAGTGGCAGCTCGCTCGAGTTGCGGGAACGCTTGGAGAGAGAGAGAGATCCTTGAATGCAAGCTAGACGGACGCCCTCCCCTTCGCTGCCGCTCCCCTCCTCTCCCCCAACAGCTCCCCACTACCTAGGCGAGCCCACGACTCCGTCCGACGACGACCGTGAACCAGTCTCGCCGACTTGGACTGCCCCATCCCCGTCTCGCACGCTAGGGCATTCGAGCCCAGAGCTGCCTCTCCTTCCCTCCTTCTCCGTACTAGGCAATCACCCCCGCACACCATCCACTGCTGCGAGGCGCGAGCGAACCGACACTTCGTACTACACGGCAAGCTGGGGCAGTCCGTACCGACACCCACCGCCAACCTTCGACCTTGGCCGTCAAGTCTCGGCTAATTTTGGCAGCGACGACTTTGACGAGGAACCTTCCGGTCTCCAATTTGGCCTTGATCATCTGCTCCCGTCGCGACTAGATCTCGAGGCCGACTCGCCCAACAGGTTCAACCTCGAGCATCTCATCCCCTCCTTGGACCGCAACGTATCGCCTAACCGCTTTACGCTCGAGCATCTAATTCGATCTCGCCTACCTAACCTCGACCCTCTGACAAGAGAAGAACGGGAATCTGGTAGCACTCCTCGGCCATCCGATTCGAACCCTACATCGGAAGAGTGGGTTCAACGGTTTCTCGAGGAGCGTTGGAACCGTGAGACAAACGACTGGCGGAGCAACGATAGTGACACCGAAGGATCAGCGGACGATCAGGACATACCATTCGTTCCCCCACCGAAGCGAGGCCACCAACCCAGGAACAAAAACAAGACACTGAACCAGCAGGACTTCTGGCGCCACTTTAGCAAGGACCAGAAGGAAGCACTGGGCAAGATGATGGCCTCCAAATACGCGGAAGCTGAGCCTGCAGGTTCCCAAAGGCAAACCTCAGGCTCCCAGACAAATGGACACAGTGTATCGGGTGAGAAGACGCCGATTCCAACACCTTCAAAAGCAACCAAGCCAGCGAACGAGACTCCCACCAAGATGGGCAATGGCGATGTCACAAAGCTGCCAAACCAGGAATCGTCGACAAGCAGGTCAGCCTCCAGCACCCAGGCAAGCTCATTCCTTGCTCCCCCAAGTGCTGCACCTGCGCACCCGAGAATGCGTAAAAAGGTGATTGTGAAGGGCAAGGGTTGCATCATCTCTATACCGCGCGATATTCCTAGAGGCAACCCGGGTTATCCTCCTAAGCCAATGAGTGAAGAAACCGTCAATGCGAAGCTTAGGCAACTCGAGCAGCAAGGTTACGACATTCGGGGATTCAGTACCGGCGGCCAGGAGACACATAACAGAGCCATCTGGCCAACAGAAGCTGATGTACAAGCAGAGCGTGCCAATTCGGGTTCGAAATTCAGAGTACGCGTGTCCAAGGAATCGGAATGGAAAGACTACCAGAACTCTTTGCTCGAGGCAAAGCTTGCAGCACTAGGTGTCAGCATGGGCGGCGAGGAAGACATAGCCCTTCCTCTTTCGCGCCAGACATCCTCACAACAACATCCAGGAACGGTCTTCTCTCCACCTCTGCCTACCTCATCTGCTGGTAGCGCCCGCATGGCCAGGCCTGGCAGCATTGCATCAATCGGCTTCCCATACGTCCCGTCTCCTGGACACATGTCACGGCAGTCGATTGCTTCTCCTGCCGCTTTTGGAAACCCTCGTGCAAACATGCATATGCATCGTCATTCTACTTTTGGATCGCCTGCCAACTTCGCTCAGCATGGTTATTCACCTTCGGGCACATGGTCACCAAGTGGTTACTTCAATGCTCAGGATGGTCGCACCGCATCTCCTGCCCTTGCAATGAACCGTCCAGATCTGGCTGAGCTTATCTCGCCCCGCTCGCCATTTGGTATGGGGCAGCAGATGCCTATCACGCCGACGCAGAGACATGATTTCCAGCTACAGATGCAAATGCAACAGCAGCAACTCCAGGCTCAGCTTCTTCAACAACAGCAACAGCAGCAGCAGCAACAGGGCCTTGGTATGCGACCTGCATCCACGCTTGCTGAAGTACCTGAGGATGAGGATGAGGAAGACGAGGTACCGCCCATGAAGCACGCCACTCAAACCAAGACTGAGATTGCTGTGCCCACTCCCCGCGGCCATCGTCACAACATTAGCGAGAACCTTGAACGCGAGGCAGCCAACGAAGAGTATCACTTGGAAGAGGCTATTGACAAGCAGTTTGCCGAAGGTGGAGACTTCAGTACGGAGCCAGAGACTAATGTCCCATTGAAGCATTCCAATGCTGTGGCCAAACCCAAGTGGGAGGACTCTCGACCAATCTTGCACCAGCCTCAACCACACAGCAGGACTCACTCACTCGCACAATCGCAGAACCCTGTCTCCTTTTCGTTCCCAGCACAACAGGCACCTGCTTCCGACAGCGACGGCGCGCGTACGAACCTTTCAGAAAACACCAATCCCAGTTTGGAAGATGGAGAGGTCCGCAGCGCCGACCAGGGCTCTGTGCAGCATTCCAAGGCGCCCTCGCAAGTCAGCAATTCCTGGAAAGACAACAAATTTGCCTTCAACAAGCCTGCATCCTCCACACACAGCAAGCACACCTCGCGCTCTTCCATTTCGAAGCTCAATGTCGAAGCCAAGGAGTTCAAGTTCAACCCGGCAGCATCCTTCAGCCCTGGATCTTTCTCGTCCGGCTTCAGCTTCGCACCTGCCGTCAAGCCACCTGCGGAGCAAAGTGTCCATCAGACGAACAAGACGAGCATGGACGGAATGGCGAACTTCAATGCCTCTGCGCCCACATTCAAGCCAGACGCCCCTGCGTTCAAACCTACTTCCAACGGCTCCGCCTCATTTATGTCTGGTGGCTTCGACTTCTCAAGTCCTCCATCATTCAAGCCCGATGCGCCTGTGTTCAGTCCTGGAAGGTCGACATTTGATGCCAACAAGCCTGCTCCTGCACCAACGAGCTTCTCCTCCAAAATCTTTGGAGATGTCAACATCTCTGCTAATGACATCATCAAGCCAGCTACCCGCTCCAAGGCGGTTCCCATTGTCAGACCGGACAACACACGTCAGTCAACGCCCAAAGAGCAGGAAGACCGTGTGGATGAGGCTGGCCGGCCCATGCAAGCTGATGGTCGCGAGAAACGAGTGCGTCGTGATCGCGCTGACGGTGACGATGTGCCCAAGTTTGCACTTCAGCCAATCCTCGCCTCGCAGCCTTTAGTGGAAGTCAGGGAGCCCAATGCTATCACCGTGGATGCCAAGATCCCACGAGCGAGCCCTGCTGAAGACAAGGAGAACCGCTCGCCCGACAGCAAGCAGGCCAAGATCAAGTCAAAGACTCCGTCACCGATGCCCCAGCAGCAGGATACAAGGCCGTTTGAGCCTATTTCCCCTGCTCCCGGAAGTGAGCAAGGTGCAGACGATGAGACGGCTCACGCCAGTGACATACCCACTCCCACCACTGAGGAACCCGAGCCGACGAGCAAGCAACATAGCCATAAGAGCACTCTCTCCGCCAATGCCAAGCCGTTCGAGTTCAAACCCCAGTTTGGCAACGCTGGCTACGATTTCGGTTTCCACGTTACAAAGCCTTCTCAAGTCGAGGAACCTGCAAAGGCTCGGTTGTCGCCTGCAAGGATTGCTAGCAGGAGCCCAGCAACCACTTACCGGCCCAGTGATGACGGTTCATTCAAGACGGCCATGGAGTCTGGTAGACAGACACGTTACCCCGAGAATGAGAGCGTTGATTTCGACAATATCGGCGAGGCTTCATTCATGGACATTGATGCAGTTATGAAGCATATGGACGGAGAGGGCTCGGACTTTGGTGTCGAGCGTGACGAGACATCTTGGGACCACTCTTCTCCCCAGAGGACGCCACATGTGTTTGAGCGCCATGACCTGCAGCCAAACTTCAAGCTGCGTAGTGACGCACCTAGCCCCAGCCCCCGCAGGGGATTCATTCCCGGCCCCACAGCATCAACGCTGGATCCGTTTGACAGTGAGAGGGCTGCGCTTTCGTACCAATCTCCTGTGCGTGAGGTGAACAACGTGGATGACGGACATCTCAGCGACTGGGATGATGATGGCCTTTTGAGCGAGGACGAGAACAAGCTCCAGACGCGCAGTGGCTTCTTCGATAAACATGTTGATGAGCTTATGGGTCGTCTCCTGCAAGATCGTCTTAGCCCGCTGCAGCAAAACTTGCAAGGTATCCAGCAAGCACTTGTAGCCATGACACAACGCACGCGTCGTGGCCGCCGTAGCATGTCTACCAGCGAACGTCTGGACAGCGATGCAGATGATGAAGACGATGAGATTGGTACTGAGGCAGACTACCGCAACAGATCTCGAGGCAAAGACAAGAAGCTGGAGAAGATCAGGTCGATCGTCATGGACGCACTTGAGGTGCACCAATCACAGATCACGTCGTTGCCGGTGCCAGTACCAGTAGCGGAACCAATCATCCCAGAGAAAATCAGGGACATTGTCACCGATGTCATCACACAACATCAGCCACCTGTGCAACACGTTGAACCTATTTCTGTTGACCAGATTCGCGCCATTGTTCAAGATGCTATTACTTCGAGCAAGACAGCGCCAGAGTATCCCACTGAGACTCTCAAGGCCGAAGACGTCCGATCCATTCTTGCCGACATGCTCGCGTCTCATGCTCCTCAGCCTGTGAGGCCTGACGACATCAGGTCCATTGTCATGGAGGCGTTCGAGACTCACGCTCCTCAGCCATTGCCGCCACCAGTTCCTGAGCAAATCTGGCCAGATGACCTTAAGGCCATTGTCGCAGAAGCAATTGCATCTTCTCACACACCGCCTCCGCCTACACACACTGCGGATTCTGTCCAGCCGGACATGATCCGCTCCATCGTAACCGAAGCATTGGCATCACAGAAGCCTGCCGCCACTCTCGAGGCACCTGTCAATATTCCACAGCCATCGCTTGAGATGTCTGAGATGTACCAGATTATTGGTAGCCTCAAGGCTTCTATTGCCCAGACCACTAGTCATCACCTGCAAGCTGAGGACGTTCGTGAGCTCATCGATGATGCTTTTAAGCGTCAGAACATGGAGACTGCCAAACTCGAGGAGTCCAAGGCTATCCAAGAGAGGGATGCACGGATCGCTGACCTTGAGGACATGCTCAAGGAGGCTACCCTTCGCTTTGATACCGAAGCCGAAGCGCGCAAGGCTCTTGAGGCTCGTGAAGTCGACTCTTCTCGTCTTCTCAAGGTTACCGAAGAAGAACTTACCCTTCTTCAGCAAGCCGCCCGTGACGATGAGAGGAAGATTCGTTCTCTGACCGAAGAGCGTGACGATCTTCGCCGTAGCTTCGATACTCTCAAGAGTAACGAAGATGTATTCCGCGACAGGATTTCTACACTTGACGGCGAGAACGAGCGACTCAAGCTTACAAACATTGCTTTGGAAAGCTCTGAAGAGGACCTCAAGAAGAAGCTGGATTCTGTTACCGCTGAGAACGAGGCTTTGACATTTACGCTAGAAGAGCACCGTCTCTCTGCCAACAAGTGGCGTGGTGACCTCCAGGTAGCTCACGAGGAAGCAGAGCAGCTCCGCAAGGCTATCGGCGAGTCACGCTTCCAGGCTGAAGAAGCCACTCGCGTCCGCGAGTCTATGCGGGCCAAGTTTGAGAAACTCCAGCAAGATATGGTCGCTGCTTCTCAGCAGGTTGCAGCCGAACGTGCGCAATGGCAGAAGAACGAGGAGGCATCTGCAAGCAAGTATGAGGTTCTCAGCGCACGTATTGAGGCTGAAGGTCGCACACGCGAGCGTCTTGAGAGAGAGCTCGAGCGCCTTGAGACTCAGGAGCGTGAGGGTATGAAGCTCAGGTTCCACCTTGAACAGACTCAGAAGCACAACTCCAGGCTAGAGGAGACTATCCAACAGCTGAGGAAGGAAACTGTGGAGCACCAGAGGAACGCTGAGCGCTACGAGCGCGACATGCGCGAAGCGAGAGACGCTGCTCACGTTGAGATCCGTCGCACCCGTGTGCTCATGGAGGCCGATATCGATGCTGCCAACAACCAGGTCAACATTGTTCGCCACGAGCTCGAGAGCGAAATCAACCGTGTCCGTGCTGAGCTGGACCAAGTTCGCTTGGACGCAGACACTGCCAAGGAGAAGCACGAGCTTGACTTGGAGGCAGCTTCTGATGCCAAGAAGCAAGCGGTTCAAGAAGCGATCGAGAAACAGAGGCTCAGCATGCAAGAACAGCAGCGTGCGTTTGAGCGCCAACTTGCGCACGTCAAGCACGAGCATGCTCGTGCTCTCGAGTTTGCACGTGAAGACAAAGATCGCGCTGAGGCCTTCCACAATGACAAGCTTGCTTTGGCCGACTCTAAGCTCGACCACTTCAAGGACAAGATCTCCCTGTTGGAAGAGAAGCTACAGGTTGCAAAGGAAGCTGCCAATGCTGCGGTTGCCGCTGCTTCCAAGTCACCAACCTCTTCTTCCTTTGGTCTAAGCAGCTCTGACAAGATTTCCACCCAAGCACTGCGCGAATCAATTGCTGTTCTACAAGAGCAGCTGCAAGAGCGCGAGGGACGTATCGAGTCACTTGAGCAGCAACTCGAGGAGGTTGATACGGAGGCACCAGCCAAGCTCAAGGAACGCGACACCGAGATCAACTGGCTACGTGAGCTCCTTGGTGTACGTGTGGATGACCTGAACGACCTGATCACCGCTTTGGCTCAGCCAACTTTCGATCGCGAGACTGTTCGTGACGCCGCAATTCGCATCCGCACAAACTTGCAGATGGAGCAGTCGGAGAAGGAGCGCCTTATTTCTGGCGGACAACAGTCCTTCCCCACGCTCAGCACGTTGTCCAACTTTGCCTCACCCAAGGCAGTCCAGCTTGCTGCTGCCATTGGTAACTGGCGCAAAGGTCGTGGAGAGGCTACATCCGCCCTTGCGGGAAAGCCTTCCACAGCACAACGCACCCAGACACCATCGCGGGCCCAACCTCACTCCGCACAATCCTTTCTCTCCGGCCTCATGACACCGCCAACCTCGAACATGCGCCGTACCCTTGAGGTTCCCTCCACTTCTCAGCGCCCACAAGACGCCCGCTCCAACTCGATGAGCTCGCACGCGTCGACTGAAGTTGGCTTCCCTGTTCTTGGAAAGCAGCCCCGCACACCACCTCTAATGAGGAAGCAGGCCTATGACCAAGATGCAGACATGGAACCATGGAGCGAGAGCGGTTTCTATGAAGATGAGAGCGCCATTGAAGAAGGTGAATTGACACCTTTGGCACTCAACTTTGGAAGGGAACTCAGGCAATGAGCCTGTTTCCAGCCTGGTCCAAGCTGAATCAACCTTATTATTTCCTTTGTTAAATTTCCTTTTCCTTGTTTCAGCTCGTAAGAGCGTCCAATCCTTTCTTTACGTATACTTTTGGTTCTCAATTTTCCTTGTGCACGTGCGCAGGAAGAAAGACTGCTGCCCTCTATCTCATGTACCTAATGCTTGCTTTTATGCGATTTTCCTATGAACACCATCTTCTTTTTTTGTCGAAAGGCTGGATATTAGAGACAGATATACCCCTCAAGACTGCCCCAGATTTCCCTTATTTCCCTCGAACCCTTTGTTTTTGTAATATCAAATTGTAAGCACGCTCCATTCTTCTACTTTCTTAGTTTCCTATGTTTCTGTAGGAGGTGTCTAGGGATCATGGTAACGGTGCAGAATGGGCCGATCACGGTCTTACTAGATTTACTTAGAAAGTAGGCGTCAGAAATTGAACACCCAATCTTTCTTTTATTACAGACTGATATCATGAATTTGTGAAAGTGTTTGAGTCCTGACGCTCTGAAGAAGACTTCATTGGTGTCATGAGCTTGAATGGCGTATTGGTGGACATGGACAATGCGATTCCAATCGCTTTAGTATTGAAACGTTGTTCGGAAAAGAAAACAGAGACCCTTAAAAGTACATGTATGAAGTAGAACTGCCCCTTTTGGCTCCCTTACAAGTATGTCCCAAAGTTCATCATGCCTCATTCCCTCACTCCTTCCCCTCTAGCATCTGCGCCTGACCCAACCCACAAGTCCTCCACAAACGAAACCGCTGACCCTTTGTAGTAAACCTCACGTCCACAACCACTTCCTACACTTCTTCGTCCCACAAAGACACGGAATGGCGCCCTCGCCCGGCTCATCCATGTCGTCCTCGCCCTCATCCTCATCCTTGTCCAGATAATCAAACGTGAGTTCCTCTCCGCTCGGAATAAACCTGGAGGCGAAAAACGCAATATCGTAAACCCTGGGATCATGGCGATTGTAGCTAACGGTATACTGTCGACAATTAGGGTCGCAAGAATGATTGATAAACTTGGTGGGTCCCCCCATGAACTCTCCATCGATAACATACATATCCTTGTCCTCGAGGCCCTCTGACTCCTTGAATTTGTCGAGGGAATACAGGTACGAAGCTTTTGCTTTGGAAGAGGAAGCATTCTCGCGGCGCTCTGCTTCGGCGTCGGTGATGATCTCGCCACGGTACGTATCGATGAACTGACCCTCGTGTAGGTCCTCGGTGCAGCGCAGGCCCCAGCCGCGGCCGTCAGTAGCGCGGAAGATTTCGACTTCGACCCGGCGTCCAAACTGGACGTTTTTGTTGCGGCAGTGGGGCCCGCAGTTGCACTTGTCGTTGCATTCGTAGATGGGGCTGCGCGACTTGAGGTAGAAGGGGACTAGGCAGCCCGTACTTGTGCCCACGGCGTAGTAAGGGAATTTTTTGGGGAGCCCCATGGTGGAGAGTCCCTTCTTCAGAGCATGTTGGTACTGTAGTTTCTGCGCGGAGTCGAGGCGCGATTCGTCGACGGGCGCGTACTCGAGACAATCGCATTTTCGAGTATATTCACAGCCAATGTCACGGCCCATGTGTGGAGAGCATGACTGGCAGCCGGTTTGGGTCTCGGGGGAGGCGCGGATAACGCCTGGTTGGAGGATGTTTTCGGATATGTAGCGGAAGCGGAGGGAGGGAGTAGAGGAATCTACGAGGTTGACTAGTTTGATGGGCTTGTGGCCTGTGACTTTGGATAGTCGGAAGACATACTCGTTACGAATATAGGCCAGTGCTTTCTCAACACTAGATCTTTGTGCGGTTTGCTTCATCTCTTGCGTTGGGACAGTGTGGGTGTCAAGCCGTGGTGGTACATCTGGTCCTGTAGACATACGACAAAAGATGTACCCATGCTTGTTGACATCCATGACGCCGTTATAGAAATCGGGTGGAGATGGTGGAGGTGTTGCTGTCGGAGACTGAGAGAACGACGGCGTCTGACCTCCATGGTTTGCGTGGTAAAGGTGAGAATCAAATGGTGAAGAGCGGCGTTCATACTCCAGCCCACTGTCTGGTGTTTTGCGCTTTTTTGTTATAGGTTGCAGCTGTTCAAGTGATCCCATAGACCTGGATGATATCAGAGACGTCTTTCACGTGACTGGGCTGCAGCGCGTACTTCTCTCTCACTTCGAGGTAATCTTGCACATGCTCAAGGCATCGCAAAAGCTCTTTGATCGAATGCCAGCTTAGCGGCGCTTGATCCGACGCATTATCGGTGTTCCACCGCACTAAGTATTGTTCATCCTAGATGTACCCTGTCAGCCAGTCGCGCATAGACCATCTCGGACAAAAAACTTACATCCTTTTGCACACGATTTGAGACTATCGAGTGGACCTAGTAATAATAGTAAACTCGTTAGTATATGTCAGAAAACTGGTGTCGGTGCGCTTACGCGATCGACGAGGACGCGGCGCCCCGTATAGCCAAATGATTTTATGTGGACCATGGACGGCATTCCAGTAGCGGGACTACATTACGTTAGCTTTCTCTAGATATGCAGGGTTTATTTCTAGAATAGATCTTGTGGGTAGGGATGATTACGTCGCATGTTGACGTTTAGAGCTACTGTAAGGTAATAGGCAGTAGGTAAGCAAACTTACAGGTAATCGAAAGAATCGCTAAAAAACTCCGCTTTTTGCTGTAGGTGTGGTAAATGTTAGAGCTAATTCTTTTAAAGAGTGAAAAGAGTTATAGGTAGAGGTTAGAATTAACTAATGTTTGTTAGGCAGAAGTGTCGTGTGTTTACTAGCGATTTAGCGTGTTTAGTTAGCTCTACCCCCGCGCTAGTCGCTTAGTCAGCAGATTCAGTCATCTAGACATCTAATATACCTTTTAACTATCAGGTAACAAGAAAATAACTTTGCCTAGGAAACCTATGAATGTAAAGTTTTACGCTTTTTCGATAAACTAGAACTACTTAGCTCGTGGTTTATTTTTGTTATAGTGAAATTGAACGGGTTCTAAAAACAAATTTACAGCTTTACTGCACTGTAATAGACATATCTACACTAGGCTATGCTTGCGCAACCCCTTCACTGCCTTAGCCAATGTATCTCGTTTGAGGAATGCGTCGTTCGCTACCGTTCTCACCCCAGTGTCACCCTAGTCCTGTTTAGGTTGCATCTTACAGTAAAGTAACCTTGCTCTAGACTTCGGTCCTATCTACGGCGAATATTTGAGCAAGTATGTACTATGCAGACCACTACGTAGGCAATCACCAGTCACGTCTATGCATGTCAGGATCTCTGCGTGGTTGTTGTGCAGTGATCGATTGGAAATCCAGGTTTCCGAAATCATCTGCTTTTCTCTAACCAATCCAGTGTTTCGACACGGAAGGCTGTCATTTTGTATGGCTGCACATTAAATCACATTGAAGACGTTTAGAATTTGCGAATGCGCTTCTTTTCTTTCTCCTTTACTAGTATTACTGCAAAAGCTCAAGCCAAAGTTCGACTGCCGCTAATCCACAAATAGCGGTCTTATCGATAGCCATGTTAGCTCCGCAACCCCAAAAAAAGTTCCGCGCGCATCTTGAACTCCACCTAGGTACACCAGCAATACCCTCATTTCGCACAACATGACTTCGGACGCGCAAAACAATCCTTTCATCAGGAATCTTGCTTCGAGCGGTATGTATATAGGTCATATTGAAATCCTGTTAGCAATAAACTGACGTTTGCGACAGACAAGAAAGTTCGCGACCAGGCGCTCGATGCCTTGAAACAATACCTTGGCGCACAATGTGAAATCTCAGAACTCGATCTCCTGAAGCTATGGAAAGGACTATTCTACTGTACGTGTCACGGAATTCGTCACCTTGACGAGAGACTTCAGATGGCTCCGTGATCAGCTGGACGATAGGGCTAAGACAGTTTTTACAGGCTTGTGGATGCAAGACAAACCCGCCCTTCAGCAGCGCCTTTCCCGTGACCTCGCATCCCTCGTCTCTACCCTTCGCACGCCAGTAGTTTTGCCATTCATCCGCGCCTTCTTCCTTACCATGTCTCGCGAATGGAGCCATATTGAAGCACTGAGGCTCGACAAATACCTCTACCTGATCCGTCAATACGTCAATGCGTCATTCGCATTCCTCAGTCGGAACAAGTGGAAGAAGAGCCTATTAGAACAATGGAACGTCATCATGGAAGAGACGCCTTTGGAATGCAAGAACATGAGGATTCCTAACGGACTCAGATATCATATCATGGATGTTTGGGTTGATGAGCTTGAGAACGTCGAGGGCGATGAATGGGAGAAGGACGAAAATAAGGAGACGTTGGAGAAGCTGCTACAGCCAATCGAGAGTATGGCGAAGAACGGAAACTTGAAACCGCTGAGAAATGCGGCCAAAGAGTGTCTCGCAGATGAAAGATTAAGAGCTTGGAGAGGGCAAGAAACTGAGGTCGCAAGCGAGCCTGAAGAAGAGGATGAGGAAGCAGAGTGGGGAGGTTTTGCAGACTAAAGAACTGTGTCACTGGCACTCCGGGCATTACAATTGATTTCAGCGCGGCGTTTATGGGTATTTGACCTTGACAAATACAACACGGAAAAGCATTAGATTTGAAAATCTCGAATCAGTACGTGAACTGCACCAAAACTCCGCAACAAGACACAGTATTATCATGAGCGAAATCGCAAATCCTCAACCGTCCATCTCAATCGTCGCGCGTGTTGATAGAACCATCTAGGTTTTGTTAGCATATTTCTTAATGCTATACAGAAGCGTGTACTCACATCCGCCTCTACCGTCTGCACCAAGATTGTCCTCTCTCTCTTCTATGTATCTTCCCAACAATTCCGGCCTGACAAACAGTACGTACATCCTCCATAGCAATGGAGGTAGCAGAAATCCAATACTAACCCCTGCAACCGCCCTACTTATTGCCGCACGAGGTGCCCCTTGTATCAACTCCCACATTAGAATAGGAATTAGGCATGCTTCGCCTATGCCCAACATCAAGTAAGTCGGCCTTCTAGACTCAATGCCATTTCTGGTGTTGGCTGCGCCAGCGAACAATGCCGATGTAAGTCCACCAACAATCAAGCCACCAAAAAGGCGCGCGAACAAGACTGATGCCGGGTTGATATCTCGAGATGGATTGCTGAGAAGTAGTGAGAGAGTAAATCGCGTGTTCGTGATTAGAGGAATGGTGAAGAGGTTTGCAGTTGCTTCGAGGATGAAGGCTTTGCGGATTGTTGAACCGTCTTGAGCAGGGTCAGGCGTTATGCTTGGGTTTGCTGCTGGAGACTTTGTGGATGACATCTTGGAAGTTGCCCAGGGGTGTGAAATGATGAGAGTGACAATTTGTAAGTATGGGAAATCTAAAGAAGGTTTTTGGGTCTATGGAGAGTGTATTGTAATTTAGAGCCTGAGTAGTCTCCCTAGTGAATAATGACGAGTGTCGTTGAGAAGGTCACATTGACGTCATCACTTTCCGACATGCACATGCTTTCAAAAGCTATCGTAGGGCAACAGTTGGAGAAACTTTGTTTCATGTCATGAATACCTTTTGGTCTTGCCATCTCACTATAGTGTCTCTACCAATGCATTGCATTTGTGAACAACTATGCAAATAATAGCTCAGTTGACCTATAGTCAAGCTACCTCAGACAATGTTCCCATATACCGAGACCTACTTGTGTATTTTCTTTTTTCTTTCAAGACAAAAGAATTGTGCGTACCACGGAAACATGAGGGTGTCGGCACAAAATGTGCTCATTACCTTGTGGCGGTGAATGAACTTCTGGTGCCAAGTTGCTGTCTGCTTCACCACAACACACTAATGTACCATGAGAAACGAGATGTGAGTAACAAGACACGTATTCTTGTCACACAAACAGTGCGATCGTCTTGCAGATACCTCACAGTATTATCATTGCGAGACTGAGGGTAGGTGTTCTTGAGTACCGGTCGGCCAATCACATCCTCCGAATTTACACCGCCAAAGTTGCCCAGGTTCTCACCGCGCAATAAGTCCGGCAAAAACATTCCACAACGCACTGCAGGGTTGAAGGGTTCAACTTCTGGGCTGATCATGGGCCGCCGACCCAACCAGCTGATCCTCGAATACTTCGAGCGCGGCCCTAAGCTCGAAGATGCAAGCAACCGCTACCAGCACACGTGCAAATCGTGCGGCGAAAAGGTACCTGACCCTGCGACAAAATGTCTCGAGGTGATATGAGTAATAGCTCACACGACGCAGTTTCCTAAAGGTCGCATAGACAGCCTCACGAACCACTTGGTCAAGAAATGTCCTGCCTTGCCTCTTCAGGACCGGCAGCGTGCACTGCTGCAAATGCACGAGCTGCCCCTCCCCGACAACATGACGCAAACGACCAATACGAACGCACCAGGGCCGAGCCAGATGCAGCATGGCCAGAAGATGAACCTTCCCTTTGTACCGTCGAAACAGCTCTCTGCTCTCGAGACGCTAGCTGAGGTCTCGCGACAACACTTGGACCTGTCTGGAAAGCGAATGGCAGAGAAGCAGCCCTCACAAACGCAACACGGCCACAATAATACAAGTCATGCAGGGCTATTAGAAGAGTTCCTGATACAAGATGATAGACCTGATGGTTCCGATTTGGCTGGTCTTTCGCATGGCATGGACATGTCAAATCCGCCAGCTATGCCGTCTATGTACCAGTTCAATAATTCGCTCCATCACTCACCGACAACTTCTCCGGACATGGGTCACATGCCTCTTTCAAACTCTTCATCCATGTCGCACATGGTTCCCTCACTCGTCATGGCGGCGTCTGCGGCAAACGATCTGATGCCGCTGACCAACGGCTTGTCAATGGACTCTGATATGAATCTCTCAGGACATGGTCTACACAATATGTCGGACGGAAAATTCTTTCATGCCCAAGGACGTGGGCACTGGCCAAACATACAACCCAATTCGCTTGATCCAATGCTGCAAGACCATAGTAAAGAACACATGCAGATGAACGACAACCACAAAGGAATGGGCCACCAGCGACCGCTTGCCATGAATGCAGGTAACCAAACGCACTTTACAACGGACTTCAGTATGAACCAAAAGCCAGCAAAGCCAAAGGTCAGAGGGCGCTTCACCGACTCAAGGCGGAAGGAAGTGCAAGAGGTGCGCAAACGAGGTGCGTGTATCCGGTGTCGTATGCTCAAGAAGCCTTGTTCTGGAGAAAACCCATGCAATACTTGCCAGAATGTTGAAAGCGCACGGCTCTGGAAGCAACCTTGCATTCGGACACGGATAGCAGAGGAGTTTGGTCTCTATACTGCAGGCTTGCATAGTGTTCTCGCATTCCACGCCACCAACCAAGCAAAAGGCCAGATTCGACTTGATCAGACACCAGGACGGATAGAAGCCAGCCATTTCCCTGCTTCTGGGACTTTTGCAACTTTTACCCCACTGAAATGTCAACAAACTGCAGCGACCCAGACCACGGATATTGACCCGGCTATTTTCTCAGGACTAGCGTCACCAGATTTGGAGTTGATAGATAGTGATGATGATGTTAGTGGAAAAGTCGATCACTACGTGAAAAAGATGGCCGGTCACTTTGCCGACACCGAGGACTCTCACTTCATGAAGGCAACGGTACACAGCGCGAAAAGCATTGCATCGTTGAGCCCTGATGGACTTATATCCAAATCGCTGGAGCTTTGGAACCTAACCCGAATACTCACATCTCGCAACTTCGAATGGCACTTGTTCTCTAATCCATCTCTTGCGCCTACTCTGGCCCCCTCGACTCTGTCTGCCGCAGATGTCGATGATGCAATTCGCATGCCCATCACACCTCTGGAGCATGCCTCTTCTCACAATCTCATTAGCATGCAGCTCATGGGTGCGACAGAGAAGCGGGCGGCATGTCTTGCACGCATTGTCATGAACGATCTCGAACGCAGACTACTACAGCGCCAACAAGCAAATCCGTTTGAAACTTTTCTTGTCGCAGTCATACTCCTTGCCTGTGTGGAGCGAATGTGCTGGCTCTTTCGTTCTTGGGAGGCACCGTCTACAACTCCAACAGGAGAAAATAGCAACGACTCTTGCAAGCAGACTTCCACTGCTCATACTGACCTTGTATCTGCTCTTGATTCTACTGCAGTCACTTCGTCGTCTCCTCCTGCACCGGCACAAGACCTTCTGAACCAGCCTTATCGCAATCCCCGATGGCCACTCGACAAGTCACCGTCTACGTTCTCCCAGCAAGGCGAAAAGTTTAGCGACATCCTTAACATGCTGCTCAAGATGCGCGGTGTCCCTCCCAAAGTGACGTCGATGAATCTTGACGGGACGCTGACGGTATGGAATGAGGATGCAGACGAGAAGGTGCGGGAATGGTACAGTGGGATTGCGGTCACGACATTGATGCTGGATGAGCGGGCGAATGCACGTTTTGTTGGTGACGATCCAAAGGAGTGGGAACTGAAGTTCATAGGAAAGATTATTAGAGGGGATTAGGGTGGCATGTCAAGGGTGTTCGCCGTCAATGCTGAAAAGAAAATACAAGTGTGCTATGGATATGAAAATGATTTCTCGTGACTTGGATTTCATGTATTGTGAATGAGAACGCATAGCTAGGTGAGGAACCGATGTTGACATTTTGCCTCTCCTTCGATTGACAAATGAGTAAATGGATGAACAGTATTCTTGCAATCTCATCGGTTTCTCGTTGGATTTGCAAAACCGTAATTTTGGATATGCAAATCGTATGCCACTGTGGGTGCTCGCAATGCGCCATAACGCCGTAACACCACATCATGACTCTATGGACGAAAAGATCAAAAGCAATCGGCATGAACTGACTCAGCTCTTGAGAGCCTCGAGTCGGCCCCGCATTTGAGCCAGCATCTCTGCCTGGTCTTCCTCCTCTTCCTCCTCTGGTTGCGGTGCAGCAGGAAGCTCCTCCTCTTGTGCTTTGCTTGGCGGTAACCGGTCTTTGAGCACCTCGCTCAGTACCTTGTCCACTTCCTCTTCCGCTTCCTCAGCCTCCCCTTCCAGCATTTCGTTCTCGCCCAGCGTGTCATCGAGCATCTCCTCGATAATGCCCGCCTTCATCAACTCAGAGCTGAGCTCTCTCATGGTGCCTGTCAGCTCTGGAAGTCTGACTAGACTGTTTACGTCCTTCATGATGCCCGTGCTGGCCTTGATGCTGCCCTCAATCTTCCTAACAGAGAAGGCCTCGTTGACCTGCATTTGCACGCTGTTGAGCTGCGCCTTGGATGTCATGAGACGGTTGTTTTGTTTCCGGACGCGGATCAGTTCGCGGGCGAAGATGCGGACGTCTTGGTTGGCCTGCTTGGCCATGGCTGGGTTGCGCTGGGCGCGTTTGGACGACTGTTGGATGAGGTTTTTGGTTTTTTGCTCCGTGGCCTTGAGCTGTTGGATATCGCGATCGAGCTTTCGGACGTTCTGGCGCACGAGGGCATTGCATTTGCGCTTCTGTGGGATTGTTAGATTGTCGGGTAAAGACGTGCTGTGGTGACGTAGCACGATCGTACCTGCTCTTCGGGTGTGGGCTTCCACAGGAGACCTTTGATGGTCTCCATAGTGGGCAATCAGTCAACCTGGATGCGCACAATATGGTTTTGGAGGCGCCACGTGCGCAGTGCTTGGTAGTGGGAGTCGTCTGGTGTTAGTGGATGTGGGTAGGGCGGGAGTTGGCAGGCTCAAGAATCAAGAGGCACGTGACGGCAGCTAGACGGGGCGATTGACAGAATACTAGCAGGTCAAGCGAAGGGTGAATAGCATGGGAGCATGTGACAGGGCAGTAGGTGGATGTGCATGTGGATGTGCTGCATGTCAGGGCCCGAGGTGTTGTAAGGATGGCGGCCTTGGACCGACTCCAGGCCGAGCTCGGACCCATGGTGACGTTGAGCTCTTCGCGGGGCACGAGCAGCCCACTAGCCTCAGTGTCCAAGTCTGCCAACCACCGCGACAGCGAGTGAGATGGTCAAGAAAATAAAAGTTCATGGGATGCATACGCGTTCACAGCGCCCCCAACCTGCATTTCGTAATCAACTGACCAAAAACGGGTCGTTGAACTCAAAGATTCCACTGAGCTTCTATTGCTTTCCACGCTAGTCTCTCCACAGGGCCGCATTTCTTCCGCCTTCAATCTGCTTCCTCCAGACAAACACTTTGACTGAACAACAATCAACCCCCATTACATAAACTGCGACACACATTGAAGCGCACCCGGACTTGAACGGAACACCACATCACACAACCACGACCTTGAAAATGTCTAGCGTCACCCCAGAAGGTATGTCACAGCCTTGTTTACCACCAAAGCCCCAGAGATACTTCACTTGTGCCTTGCGCACCCTCTCAAGTTCGTGGAGACGCAATCCGATTTCCTTGTTCTTTGTAGGCCACTTGCAACTATTGTAGACGCGTCCGGGGCCTTTCTTACTATGCAACACATGTTAATACGCAACAGTTGTTTGGGCGCAGCGCTCATCCCCCGACGAACCGAGCAAGAACGTGATTTATCTTACCATCGTTGCCCCCGACCTACCGAAGGAAGACGTGAAGATCGAACTCAAGGATCAATCTCTCAGCTTCAAGGGAACCTCTACTTCCAAGAAGACCACATACGCCATCGACCTTGAATTCTACGCCGAGATTGACACCGAAAACTGCAAATGGAATAATAACGGCCGTGGTATCGAGTTAGTACTAAGAAAGAAGGAGCACAAGCAGGAGTACTGGCCCCGTCTGCTTAAGGATTCAAAAAAGATGCATTTCCTCAAGACTGATTTCGACAAGGTATGCTAGCCAGGAATGATAACCCTACAAGAATTGAGCTAACATGCTACAGTGGGTCGATGAGGACGAGCAAGACGAAACCGCCGATGACCTTGACACGTCCGCGATGAACCCTATGGGCGGTGGTGACGGAGGCTTTGGCGGCATCGACTTCAGCAAGCTTGGCGCAGGTGGCATGGGCGGAATGCCTGGAATGGAGGGCATGGACATGAGCCAAATGATGGCAAACATGGGCGGTGGTATGCCCGGCGGCGACGATAGCGACGACGATGACGACATGCCTGAGCTTGAAAACGACGAGGATAACAAGGAGAAGGCACCCGCAGCCGCTGCATCAGGCGACAAGCCCAAGATTGAGGAGGTCTCATAAACAGGTCACTCTCCTTGCGTTTAGCGAGTTGTACCACATGAGATTGAGCGGGCGGTGCGCATGATGGATCGGCGTTGACACAATCTTTGGGGGAATGAATGGAAGTGTAATCCGAAGTGGCCAAGTACGGCTATGCATCTATGAGCCGCTGCTGCTCCACAACTTGAGCGTGTGAATGCAGATAACGATCAAATCATGCAGTACATGGCAAAACAATACGAATCATGTTTTTTCATGAATGAGGGAAATGTTGCGTCCAAAGTGAAATAAAGAGTTTATTGTTCTTATTAGTTAATACAACGGGGTACCTTGCTATAATTGTAAGATTTCCCTTTGGTTGGCTAACAGGCCTTACACTTTTGCTGGAATTTGGTAGGTATCGTATGGAAAGTCTTCCAGGGTACTGTACAATCGTGCCCATCCATCATCAACTTGCCCAGTCGTGCCAATCTGTTTCTCTCCTTGTAGAGCCAACTCCTCCACATTCTTCTTCTTTTCCTCTTCAGTCTCTTTGTACTCGCCCGTCAATCCTGCAAGCACCTCTTTCTCTCTGCCCTTGTACTCCACCAACAAATCTGGGTGGGGACACCACACCACCTGCATGCCTGCTCTCCGCCCAGACTCAACCCCCGGAACGCTGTCCTCGAAAACCAAACACTCTTCCGGCCGAATGGGCGGTTGTCCTTGCTCCTCCAATGTTTTATTGAGTGTGGAAAGTGCAAGAAGATAAATATCAGGAGCAGGTTTCCCGCGCCCCGGGGCTATCCTCGGATCATCCCCCAAAACACGGTGTTCAGGCGCAAAATAGTCAAACAAATGGCTCAAATGTGCGCTCTTCAATTCAAAGTTGCCCTTGTGACTGCTCGTCGCAAGAGCAACATGTACACCCCTGCTCTTCAGGCCTTCCAGCAAGTCCAGGACTCCCGGTAGCGGTTTCGTGGTTTTGAAGAGTTCGCGCTGGAGTTCTGATTGCTCGGCCATGAATTGCTCGTGAGATATGGGCAGTTTGGCCCATTCGTGGAAGATTAGTCCGGCTTGTGGGCCGGGCCGGCCTTGCAGTTGGGCTTTTATGGACCAGGGGAGGTGTGGGCGGCCGTAGCGCTCGAGGATTATGTTCGTGACTATGGTGTAGATGTCTTCGGAGTCGATTAGGAGTCCGTCCATGTCGAAGAGGGCGGCCCGTATGCGGGGTGGTGGGGTGGTTGTGCTGGTTCGTGTTAATTGAATTTGATATAGATACTTTGGGTAAGGATTGCGTACGTTGAACCCATGTTGGCTGTTTTCTGAGGCGCGTGGAAGATTGCGTAGGTACTTAATCCGAAGGATTCGCAAAAGATGCGACTAGGTGGATAGATCTTGGTACCCCACGCCTAGTAGTGACTGGACCGAGGCGTGGGGCACTAGTCGGACCTCCGACTCGGCCAGACGTCACTCTCCAAACAGATCAACAGGTACCACTGATGGACCAAAGCCATTAACGCCTCAATACATTTTCGACTCCTAGAAAAACATGTCATTGAAAAACGATCCTCCCTCAAAGCCTGAGGCGGCGGAAGTGGCGACACCCGAAATATTCCCACCAGACGAAGAGAAGAAACTACTTGAGGAAGCAACTGCGGAAAAGGCTTTGGCCAACAAGACATTTGCGTCAGGCGAATACAACAGCGCGATACAAGGATACGAGAAAGCACTTGCAGTCTGCCCGAACTATCTTGAATACGATGTCGCCGTACTGCGTTCCAACATAGCAGCATGTCACTTGAAGCTGGAGGAATGGAAGCAAGCCGTAGAATCCGCCACAAAAGCCTTAGAGGCACTAAACCGCATAGATCCTCCCCCAGCCCCAAAAGAAACGGGTAAAGACGGAGAGAAAGAAGTAACAGGCGGCGGCGCCGTCCAGGAAATCGACGACACTACCGAAGTCTACCTCGACGCTCTTACTCGCACAAACCACACGATAGACGATGTCCACAAACTCCGCACCAAAGCACTTCTCCGCCGTGCAAAAGCCCGCCACGAATTCGGTGGCTGGGCCTCTCTACAGGGCTCGCTCGAAGACTACCAAGCTCTCCTCAAACCACCGCATCGACTCTCGAGCCTCGACCAGAAGGCGGTACAAGCGGCGTTGCGGACATTACCTGCGCAGTTGGAAGAGACGAAGAACAAGGAGATGGCAGATATGATGGGCAAGCTGAAACAGTTGGGGAATGGGATATTGAAGCCATTTGGGCTGAGCACGGATAATTTTCAGTTTACAAAGGATGAGAAGAGTGGGGGGTATAGTATGAATTTTAACCAAGGTGGTAAATAGAATTTGCGAGAAGAACAAGATGTTGCTAGCATGTTTTTTTTTTTGCAATTGTAGTCTTGATGCGTAGTCTTGCGGATGGTAACTAGATCCGATATTACGGAGATGGTATGAAAGAGGCGAGATCCAGAGCGATGCGAGGGAGCTGTGATCCACGCTGAGCAATACGTAGCACTCGTAACGAACATTGCGTCAGCATGATGCGCTACGTGTAGATACACTAAGGGACTCGAAAGCAGAAAACATAGCTGCCGAGCAAACGAATAAAGCCTTGTGGCAAGGGCTGCCGCGCGGAATGTATTTGCTTTTACATTTGCTGGCCACTGAGATTCATACACATTTGCGTGATCGTCAGGACCCGGATTTCTAAATTCAGACTAACCCCTACCAACATGCATAGTCTTGTGGTACCTACATTACGTTGTTAGCTTTTTGTGCTGATCTGCAGTTTGATTGACATGAGCGAGTGATCGCTTCTTGTACCTTTGTTCTCAGGAATGCAGGGTATGGTGCTTGATTTGATGGGTTCGGGTAGGTAGACTTGGGATTGTTGGGATGTTTAAGTGGAGGGTAGAAAATATGGCATATTTGGTACGACTGGCCTTATGTTTGTAGCTCAGGGAATTCCTAGGGGGCGGGTATGATATGCATTTTGATATGGAGGATGACATGCCCCATCAGATCGGCCAATGTATGCCCAGTTTGAGCCTGACAGAGATATTTTAAAGCGAACCAAACTTGACAACACCATTAAAAAAAGTGATGTTACAATCTCTCGATGCCCCATTCAGAATGATCACTTGGCTTATTGTGTTGGCTGTCGGTGTCTAACTAGAGGGGAATACGTCACTTCCTTACGAAATGACTGACAGATGAAGAAGACTTGAGACATTTCTTTAGAAAATTTTGCGGATAACTGCTACAAAATTACTTCTATGAACAACACTTTCCCCAGAGGTCAGAAAAAAACTGTTACTTTCACACAGTTAGTGTTATGTCCTTTTAGAAAAGGCTTCCGCGTCTTGACACAGAGAAAAGGATGATGTCCGGCTAGGCATATCTACGCCATCACAGTAGCTCTCCCACCCCTGCACACTGAGCAGCACAAGATCATAAAGTATAATGGTGTGTAGGCGTAGAGAGCAGCTACGTGGATAGTCCTGCTTGGGTGAAGAGTGTTTGGTGATGGATTTGCTTTTACCATAGCAGTCTGCGCAACATCGATCTCTTTACAATCCAGAGGGCATAAATCACCCTGCACATCCCATCGCGATAGCCCGCACAGAACCGGAAATAAACACAAAATTACACTTGATCAAACCATTTCCAAAGAGGCAACCTCAAAATGATCCAAATCCACTCCACAAAACACGAGCCCGACCCAACCCTCACTCACTCTTTCCTCATAAGCTTCATCATACTCCAAACTATACCATGGCTACGACGCACATTCCGTATCAAGCATCTATCATCATACCTCTTAAACTTGTTACAATCAATCCTCAGACCCATACCACCCAGCCCTATCCTCACCAACCCCTCCCCGCCCGACACAGCCCTTCACAACGGCATCCCCTACATCTCCCTCAATAGCGCCTACCACCACACGCTCCGCCAATCCTGGACCAACGACCCCACCAAGCTCTACCTCGAAAGCTGCTTCGACCCCGAATCCCCTGTCAATCTCGCCACTGACTTTGGTATCGAGGGGTTGTGTCCCGTAGTCAAGGCTACGGAGGGGGATAGGTTTATATTAAGGGATGGAAGGGGGAGGTATTATCTTTGGGATGGGTGGAGTGGGGAGTTAAGACGGTTTAGGGAGAGGTGGACGCAGGGGTGCAAGAATAAGGAGGAGGTGGTGCAGGGGCTCGTGTGCGAGATGACGTGGGCGGAGGCGGATACGGATGTTGTTGGTAGGGGGAGGTGAGGGGATGTGTTGGTTAAAGAGCAGATGTATCAACGACTTGGGCGGTAGATTCAGTTTGTCATAGCGGTTTTTTCTTTCTTTGAATGATAGGGATGTATTTTAGGTTAGGCAATGTAAACTGTTTGAATTATACTTTTCAGTGTCTTCTATTTGTCTCAAATGCAGCTATATAAGGGGAAGATGAGCCGTGTATTCTTGCGAGATGTGATCTCGAGTACAAGTGATGGAAACCAGAATGGTGGGTATGACTTTGCAAGATTCTCACATCTTCGGGGATGCGAGATCAATTTCGGGTTCTCTAGGTGTGATTTGGACTTGCACCGAGCTTTTGAATGTGGGAAAGTCTTCGCATGCATCGAAGAGTGGCTTTGGCATATCGGGCGTAGCCTTCCAGTCGTAGCGCAGCAAGAGGATACATAGTGCGATTTTCATTTCGTCGTTTGCAAACCATCGGCTAGATACGTGACGAGTCAGCAAATCTGTGTCCTACAGGGAGGGGTGTGGGCATGAACAAGAGGGGCCACAGAAAGAGAATAGATCAAAAGACTCACCCTGGGCAGGCATGCTTGCCTACTCCGAACTCTGGATTCTCTAGATTTGCTGTGACAAAGGACCACTTCCCTTGTCCTTCTCCTTCTTGCTTTTCGAGCCAACGCTCTGGATAAAACTCTTCGTTTTCACCCTCGTAATCAGCGGGAGGCATGACAAAAAACTTTCGACCATTGGGAATGGTGAATCCATCTGAAAACGTCAAGTTTCCTTTGACAACTTGTCAGCGTGCAGTACTAAGGCTGCCCCGAAGGATTCTCATGCATTCCTTATGCACAGCATCTTGTAACTTGAGACGAGCTAAGGCTTGCCTTGTCCAGCCGTGCTCCTTGAGAACTGAGATGGCTTCTTCTCGGAGAAGTGGGATGTATTTGGGATACGCGATAAGGCACCAGAGAGCAGTGAACAAATGCTAAAGTCCCTCAGTCAATCAAATGATTTTGATGTAAGAAACTGCATTTTTGTACATACCCCACCCGTGTTGTGAATAGCAACCATAGATATAGTTAACTGAAAGCCAACGAGATCAAGCTTTTGGTCCGTCTTGTTCTTATTCTGGTCGAGTATCCAAGCTACAGAGTCGTGCGTCTTTGGGACTTTTTCACCGGCAGCGATAGCAGCTCTTGCTAACTTCTCTCGGCGTTCAAACTCCTTTGTAATCAACAGACGTGCTCTTTGAACTTGGCATCGAACCGTCTTGCACAGTGGATTAGAGTATTGTACGATTGGCCATAGGATGCGAGGCCAGGGGCGAAACTGCAAAGCAGCTGGCAAAGCGGTGACACCGTATTTAATCGAGATGTCGACGTATTCTGGGTTGTGAGCTAGCTCTTCGCCGAGCATAGTGCGAGCAGTGAAGCGACCGATTATTTTCGTTACTTCAGGGAGCAATGTAAAAGTGTGCCATCGTCCAGGGGCCAGATTCCCGAAAAGCTCCTCAGTAACTAGAATACCTTCTTCTGCCAAGCTCTCAGTGATAACTCCCAGGGACTTTGTGAGCTTAACACCGATAACTTCTCGGAGGAGCTCCGCGTGTTTGTGGCTCACCATTAGGCCGTCAAACCCGGGCAAGTTCCAAGGTGCCTCACTCAAGACATAAGGAGAGAAGGATGCCTGCTGAGAGTCGCGAACTTCTTCAAGATATCGTCGGGGAAGAACAATCTTTGGGCCACCATGAGTGAGGATCTGGAAAGGCTGATTGGGATAAAGTTTTCTTCCTTTTCTAAGCAACTCTCGTGGCTTGGTATGCCAACTCTCCCCAGGCGTCTGTTCATCTGCATTGAGGACAGGAACCCCGCGAAGAGGCTGTTGTTTTTTGTTTAAGTAATATGCCCATAAGATAGGTGGGATCGTAGCTATGAAGACAAAGATGTAGGTGACCAGCGGGACGCTGAATAGGGAAAAGGCTCTGTTATGAAAAACATCGATCATCTTGAGAGTGTTTGATCGACACAGATGAATATCATGACAAGTACAGTAAACTAATGTTTTATATTTCTAATTCCGTTAGGCGGAGGGTCGGGGGTGCCATCTCCGCGTGAGGCACATACTTATGCATGCAACGTCATTGATCACTGGTTCCGACTGCGTGGATTTCGCCTCAAAGAGGCAATTTGTGGGTACTACTGAGCATGACCAAGTTTTAGATGTGAGTGGCTTAAAGTTAAGTATGTCGATCTACTCAATATTTTTAAAAAATGCCTCTGTTACTGGCTGCGGACATCGGACTTGAGCGAATTACAATGAGCCAGCTATTGTCACGGCGTGGCGTGAGAGACTGGTTAAGGTTCGTACGCACGGGCGGATAGGGATCCGTGCCTATAGTAGTACGTACCCTAATACGTGTACTTAAGATTCTGTTTAAGCTACGTCTTATAATTTATCTTAATATCTACTATTCTATCTAACCTATGTAATAAGCTATACTCTAATAGCTATATACTTAAGAACTAGGTGTATATAAGGGGCTGCGCTCTAGGGAGTAATCGCGAGGTATACAAGAGGTTATATTTAATAAAGAGCTA